TTCAGTAGTGGGGAAAGTGATGGAAACCATGTTAAAGGATAGGATTGTTGAACATCTAAAACACATGGATTTCAAGATCAGAGACAACATGGGTTTACTTCAGGGAGATCATGCTAAACTAATCTTATTGATTTTTTTGATTGGGTAACTAAAATTATAGATCAGGGTGGTGCAGTAGACATTGCTTAACTAGATTTCAGTAAGGCTTTTGACACTGTTGCACATAGAAGGCTTATCAATAAACTGCAATCTTTAAGTTTGGATTCAAATATTGTTGAATGGGTAAGGCAGTGGCTGAGTAACAGGCAACAGAGGGTTGTAGTTAATGGAATATATTTGAAGTTTGGACTTGTCACCAGTGGGGTACCTCAGGGATCTGTACTTGGACCCATTCTCTTTAATATTTTTATTAGTGATATTGCAGAAGGTCTTGATGGTAATGTATGTCTTTTTGCTGATGATACCAAGATATGTAACAGGGTTGATGTTCCAGGAGGGATAAGCCAAATGACAAATGATTTAGGTAAACTAGAAAAATGGTCAGAATTGTGGCAACTGACATTTAATGTGGATAAGTGCAAGATAATGCATCTTGGACGAAAAAACCCAAGGGCAGAGTACAGAATATTTGATAGAGTCCTAACCTCAACATCTGAGGAAAGGGATTTAGGGGTGATTATTTTTGATGACTTAAAGGTAGGCAGACAATGTAATAGAGCAGCAGGAAATGCTAGCAGAATGTTTGGTTGTATAGGAAGAGGTATTTGCAGTAGAAAGAGGGAAGTGCTCATGCCATTGTACAGAACACTGGTGAGACCTCACTTGGAGTATTGTACACAGTACTGGAGACCGTATCTTCAGAAGGATATTGATACCTTTAGAGAGGGTTCAGAGAAGGGCTACTAAACTGGTTCATGGATTGCGGGATAAAACTTACCAGGAAAGGTTAAAGGATCTTAACATGTATAGCTTGGAGGAAAGACAAGACAGGGGGGGATATGATAGAAACATTTAAATATATAAAGGGAATCAACACAGTAAAGGAGGAGACTATATTTAAAAGAAGAAAAACTACCACAACAAGAGGACATAGTCTTAAATTAGATGGACAAAGGTTTAAAAATAATATCAGGAAGTATTACTTTACTGAGAGGGTAGTGGATGCATGGAATAGCCTCCCAGCTGAAGTGGTAGAGGTTAACACAGTAAAGGAGTTTAAGCATGCGTGGGATAGGCATAAGGCTATCCTAACTATAAGATAAGGCTAGGGACTAATGAAAGTATTTAGAAAATTGGGCAGACTAGATGGGCCGAATGGTTCTTATCTGCCGTCACATTCTATGTTTCTATGTTTCTATGGGTTTTAAGGCACTTCTTAAAAGATGCAAGACTAGGGGAGAGTCTGATGGCGGTAGGCAGGCTATTCCATAGGAAGGGAGCCGCCCGCGAGAAGTCCTGCAGGAGTGAGTTGGCCGTACGGGTGCGAGCAGCGGACAGGAGGTGGTCACGGGCAGAGCGGAGAGACCAAGAAGGGACATACCTATGGATCTGTGAGGAGATATAAGAGAGAGTTGTTCAGTGCTTTATAGGTGTGAATTGATACCTTGGATTGACTTCTATAGCATACAGGAAGCCAGTGTAAGGACTGACAGAGGGGTGAGGTGTGAGAGAAACGACTAGAGAGGAAAATCAGTCTGGCAGCAGCGTTCATTACGGACTGTAGCGGTGCAGTACGGCTCCCACCACTGCTCCTTTTTTTAAATATTATTATTTATAAAGGACCAATAAATTCTGTAGTGCTGGACTAACCGATAAGTATTTGCAAGAATACGAGTTAGACGCACAGGAACAGAGGGTGCTGAGGTTCCTGCTCAAACAAGCTCACATTCTGGAGCAGTGGTGTCCAAAAGGTAGAGCCCCAGATGTTTAAAAACTTCAGCTTCCATGATGCTTTGTCATTATAAAGGCATGAAAAGCATCATGGGAGTTGTAGTTCAACAACATCTGGGGATCTACCTTTTGGGGAACTCTGTTCTAGAGCGAGTGGGGTAAAGAGGTACAAGAGCTAAGGGTAGGATGTATTTCATGAACAGGAAAAACAAGGTTACTAGAGATTACACAGATAAGGTTACTAGAATAGTTTGTTTTTTGGATGACACAGATATCCGAACTGAATGAATTAAATCTCAAATAATTTTCTAATATGATGAAAAAAAATTCCAACCAACAAAATTCAGTAAAATCAGGCAGCTATGATGTAAACTGACTTTACTGCGTTTCGTTGGTTGGATTTACTATCACAAGAAAATAAAGCTTGAGGTTTCTTAAAACGAACAGTGGTGGAATCTCTCCGGTGGATGCTGGACTTTCTCGTTAATCAATTATGATTCTCTTTTAGGGGAATGAATTCTATCCTGATCCTTTGTAGGGGAAGAGGGGAAATGTTGCCAAGACTCTCAGTGAATTAGGGGGAAAACAAGAAAAGCAGTGTGCGATTCGAATAATGCAGATGTGTGTCTTTGTATGTCTGGCTCTAATGTCCTATTTGCTAGCAAATGTATAGATCGGGAGAAAAACCTATTGTTTCCTCCCAGCTGTCAGTCATTGTCTTGGCAGACACTGAATGGTGAGGCATTGACTGACACGGGAGAGCAGAAACGGAGGAAAGGTGAGTGGATCAATATATTTTACACAGTGAATACATCAGGTATTTTTGTGTTATATGGTGTATTCAATGTATGTGGGAGCATTTAAGGTAAGATTTAAATTTTTTAAACTACAGGTTCAAATTAAAGCCCAGAAACTAGTAGATCCCATTTCTAAAACAACTTTAGATCTACCTGAGCTGTATGATTTTATAAATGATACGGTTAGGATGAAATCAAAGATGTGCAATAGGATCTGAAAACATTTTTAAGAAATTAAAAGGTTTGTTATATTGTGTTACACACTGAACATGGACTGGGAGTGGCGGGTGAGAATGTTTGAGAAGGGAAGGGAATTAAAAATGTAATGCTAGACTATCCCAATGCTAAAATTGTTCCATTTTCTTTCCGGTTCAGTGAATAAACAGTGTTTTTATTAAACCAACACCATAACCACTACACACACTGTAGCCGTCCTGGTGCCTGGGGTGACCTGCCCCCAACCCCCCTCGCCCCCTCGTCCATCCATATCAGTAGTGAAACATTGTTGTAGCTTTCAGTGTATTTAATACCATGTTCCGCAAATGTATTACGGGATGCGGGTTGAGGTAGTTAAAGGAGCACTCTAGGCACCCAGACCACGTCAGCTTAATGAAGTGGTCTGGGTGCCAGGTCCCTCTAGGATTAACCCTTTTTTTTTATAAACATAGCAGTTTCAGAGAAACTGCTATGTTTATAAATGGGTTAATCCAGCCTCTAAAGCCTCTAGTGGCTGTCTCATTGACAGCCGCTAGAGGCGTTTGCGTGCTTCTCACTGTGAAAATCACAGTGAGAAGACGCCAGCGTCCATAGGAAAGCATTGTGAATGCTTTCCTATGAGACTGTCTGAATGCGCGCGCAGCTCCTGCCGCGCGTGCGCATTCAGCCAAAGAGGAGGATCGGAGGAGGAGAGCTCCCTGCCTGGCGCTGGAAAAAAGGTAAGATTTAACCCTTTCCTCAGGGCACTAAAGTGCCAGGAAAACGAGTATGTTTTCCTGGCACTATAGTGGTCCTTTAACCCCCACAGCGCGACAGCAGTGCCAGATCTTCCTTACCCCCAGCAGCATCCGTCTTCTCCAATTGACTTTCAGGAAGCGCGGAGTGACACCGGGCATGTACCCTTTTTAATGGATGTGGAGCTACTGATTGCCTTAGAATGTGCCAGGGCCTTCCTGGCACTATTACAACTTCATTTTAATAAAGTTGTTATGGTGCTTGGAGTTTTCCTTTAACCATTTACCCCATAATTAGCTTGAGTTCAATTATGAGGGCAGCTCAGGTGGAAGCTAACACATTAATGCATTAGAATTGAGGCTGCTGTACAGTTGAAAAGTTGGGGTAACTAGTGCTGAGGTGTCTTGGCCAGGGTTTACCCTAAGGAGACCCAACCCAAAACACCCACTATCCCTAAACATTATAATATGCCCTGACCCCCTTTACAAAGCCAGAAACACAGTGACAGGTTTATATTACATATTAATTATATTGAATTACTGTCATCTCCCTGCTCCTACACACAGAGCAGGCAGAGGCTGCATACAGAGTACACAAGTAACAAAAACTACATAAATGTTCTCTAATTTATTTTTAAACTGTGCAGCTAAAATACTTACATTAAAAAAGGACATCACAAGTAATGTATTATCCCAGATGTAAAAAAAAAATACATAAAATATTGCAGTGCCCCGTGTGAGGATCGAACTCACGACCTTCAGATTATGAGACTGACGCGCTACCTACTGCGCTAACGAGGCTACATGATGTAACTCTCTAAATGTTGATATCACATACCTTACACAACGTGTATCCTATCTGTGATTTTGTTTTTTTGACAATATAAATCAAATGTGACACTTTACATGTTTTTGACTTTATTTCAAATTTTAAAAGTTCTATACAAATATAAATATGTTTCAATAAGGTTCCCTAACATATACATCTGACCTTCATAATAGATATAGACACATGGGGCATATATTTATATCAATCTGGTGAGTTTATGCAGTCTGTAAATGCCTAAAAATAATGAATATCTGAATAATAAGTCACTGTGTGTATGGCTCAGTCAAGTGAGGTCTATTATAGCTTTAAACAGCTGAGTGATAGCTACACAAACTCAGGGAAATGACAGCAATAACAACTATTTATATAATTATACCTGTGCTATGCAAAGTATGATAAGAGGTGTATATCTGCATGAATCAGGTAGATGTCATATATTCTTACACATGTTCACATTGTGATGTTGTTTTGTTGTCCATCACATTGTATTGTGTAATTGCTGGACTGCAGTTACCAGCAGCTTCCAGTAGGGGTCCTCAGAACAGCCAGAGAGCGTCCACCAGCCTTCAGCGGTGACGTCACGAGGATTGTTACATTGTATCCGCACAGAGTGAGCTCAGAGTCTGAAGATACACAGAGCAGAGAGAGCCTGGTATTGGGGAGACTGAGGGAGCACCCCTAGAAAGAGACCAGGACAGGCCGATTGGAGAGCTGAGGGGGGAGTCTGGACTAACACACAACAAGATGCCGTCTGAACGGCCCTTTAAACACAGGAGGAGCTTCGGTGAGTTATGGGTGATGGGCTGTCATTAGATATTGTCTGGGTATGGGGTCATGGGAAACAAAGAGTTAATCAATTATCCCCCTTTATAGAGAAAGCAGCCAGGCACTGCATGGATATAGCCCAGTAACACGCAGGAAAGGGGTCTCTGTATTATAAACATAAACCCAGCACTGTCTGAGCCTGTCCTGATAATCTGCAGTCAGGGGGTCTCTGTACATTAGATATAAACCCAGCAGTGTCTGAGCCTGTCCTGTCCTGATAATCTGCAGTCAGGAGGTCGCTGTACATTAGATATAAACCCAGCAGTGTCTGAGCCTGTCCTGTCCTGATAATCTGCAGTCGGGGGGTCGCTGTACATTAGATATAAACCCAGCACTGTCTGAGCCTGTCCTGATAATCTGCAGTCAGGGGGTCTCTGTACATTAGATATAAACCCAGCAGTGTCTGAGCCTGTCCTGTCCTGATAATCTGCAGTCAGGGGGTCGCTGTACATTAGATATAAACCCAGCACTGTCTGAGCCTGTCCTGATAATCTGCAGTCAGGGGGTCGCTGTACATTAGATATAAACCCAGCACTGTCTGAGCCTGTCCTGATAATCTGCAGTCAGGAGGTCGCTGTACATTAGATATAAACCTAGTGCTGTCTGGACTAGTCCTGTCTGGGGGTCTCTGTACATTAGATTTAAACCCAGTGCTGTCTGAGGCTGTCCTGATACTCTGTAGTCAGGGGGTCACTGTGCAATAGACACAAACCAAGTACTGTCTGAGCCTGTCCTGATAATTTGCAATCAGGGGGTCTCTGTACATTAGATATAAACCCAGCACTGTCTGAGCCAGTCCTGGCAATCTGCTATGGGGGGGTCACTGCATATTCTATACTAATTCAGCCCTGTCTGAGCCTGTCCTGATAATCTGCAGTCAGGAGGTCACTGTACATTGGATGTAAACCCAGAACTGTCTGAGCCTGTCCTGATTAATATATAACAAATTACATGTTGCCCGGTATATGTAGCAGTGAAAGGGTTAACTTGTGTAATCACTAGTAATAAACATACTGAAGGTCAGAATGTCCTCACCCAGAGGGTGATACACACTAACAGGTGCTAACTTCATGTGATATTTATTTACCTTCATTTTAGCGCTATTCCCTCTCATTCACTGACCGTGACATGTTGGTAATATGTGCGAAACAAACAAGGCTACATATAGTGGGACTGAGTATCTTTGACAGTTACCTGTTGTCAGACTACAATTCCCATGATGAATCTTGTTGTTGGGGCACTAGTTGCCCCATTTTACAGCCTTCCATTTTCCCCAGATGTAACAGAGAATAGAAATGTTTGGTCAGACACCTGCTAGATGGGGGGATGCTGTCTGGCTTTGTCCTCACAGATTGTGTTTTCCCATAATCCCCTGGCACTCATTGCTTAGTGTAGAATTATGGGATATGTGTTCTAGAACCGCAGAGGAACAAAACGACTTGTTACAAGATATCACTGGACCAGAATGTAGACCTATTTTTTTGTTTTTGTTTTGACATAGAACTTCTGGTCCATTATTAACATATGTCTGTATATACACTTTTGTTAAAATTCTCACACACGTATGACGTATAGACATTTACACCATTTTAAACTTTTGACCAGTCTTTACATTTGTGACGTTAATTTGGTTGTGTAACTGTCCTGAGTTTTGATATTGATATCATTTTTTCAGGTTTTATCATGAATAAAGCAACCATTTTCGTGAGGTGGACCGCAGAATTCCAAAACCCGGGTTAGCGGGCTGGTCGACACTAAATAAATTATTATCAAATAATAGAAGATAGGGATTTTTTTTTCAGGCAGGCTGGAGACTAGGTTGAATCTTTTGAAGGCCTTGGTAAATCTGCTACGACAGCACTGCCTGTGTAAACACTCATAGATAAACACACTGTGTTCTAGGCAGAACAGATTTCCCTGTTTTTCAAGGAGAAGTCCCTGTACATCTTGTCCCCTGAATTCATCCGGTAAAAGTTCACCTATCTGCTCCCTATAATAGCTTTAAACCAGGGCTGTGAGAGCATTATGGGAGATGTAGTCCTCCAGATATTTTGGACTACATCTCCATTAATGCTCTTACAGCCATAATGCTAGTAAAGCATCAAGGGAAATGAAGTCCACAACATCTGGAGGGCCGTAGGTTCCCCACCCCTGCTTTAAACAAATAGAAAAGAAGGTTGAGTTGAGAGCAAAATCAAAATGTACTGATATGATCTACTGTAGTGTTCCATACAATGCTGATGAGTCCCAGATGAGCAAAACTGTGTCTTCTATTATTATTACTTTTTATTTTATTATTTCTATAGCGCCAGCAAATTCTATAGCGCTGTACAATGTCTATGGTTGGTATTTGGTTCTTGTTCCTTTTAGATCAAATCGAAACCTTAGTTGCTTTTTATTTTGTGTGTGTGTGTTCTTTTTAAAGGTATTTTTTAAACAGTGTTAAGGGTGTCTCCAGCAATGTATGATGAAATCTGAAACATGATACCTGTTTTTTGCAAATTTGCATCCAGCTGGGCATTCTGGGAAAATTCTGGAAACTTGACTTCCTGGCAATGCTGTGCCCAAGACAGATTTTTACCAAGGTCTGACTTGTAATATACTGAACTCTGTGATGCGCAACATTAAATTCTGAATTTGTATAAATATAAAAAGTGTCTCTATTACTTTAATATTCCTTAGAGTCTAGGAGACTTTATTTTGGGAGATATATAGCTAAGCTTATAAAAGAGTGTTAAAAAAAATACACTCTAAGGTGTTCCTTTCTGTTTATAGATTCAGGATCACCATTTAAAATTAATAAAATAAAATAATTTAAATAAAAGCAATGAAACTTACCTATAATCCAGCGCAGAAACAGGCACCTGACTCCTGGTGGACCTCAGATAAATTGTTAAACTTCTTACATCTGGCTTGATTACTTTTCCTGTAAGTGTGCCAGCAGTGAGCTGTAGTAGTTATGGTGCTTGGAGTCAGCGGGAGAACCCGTCAGTGCTGCTGGTGCGGCCGCACTCGGAATCACAATATTTCTCACAGCTTATAGAGAGGTACGCGAGAATGATAGGAAGATGCAGCAAAAGGAGGGTGACATAGACAGACACACACCACCAGCCCCAGACTACCATTAGCCTCAGCCAGCAGCCAGATCCCACAGAACCCCAGGGAATCCACCCTCCTGCACACAAAATGTATATAAACAGGAGGGTGGTTAAAACAACGTAAATTATAGCTTGTGTGTATTTGTGTATGTATATGTGGCAGTATATGTGTATGTGTCCATACATCCCAGCATTCAACACAAACATACCCTGCATTAAAATGCTGACACTACATACAAACCCTCCTCTTCATTCGAGTGCCAACACTACATGAAAACACATGCCTGCAATCAAATGCAAACACTACACACACCTACATTCAAACACTACATACAAACACAACCTGAAGTGCTTTATTTTGGGGTCAAGAAGGAATTTTTTCCTAGTTTGTTGCAAAATTGGAAGCGCTACAGACTGGGTTTCTTGCCTTCTTTTGGGTCAACAGCAAAAACATATGTGAGGAAGGCTGAACTTGATGGACGCAAGTCTCTTTTCAGCTATGTAACTATGTAACTAATTTATCTGGAGTGTTTCAGTTTAAATTTAGGTTTTGTGAATATTTTTTTTTAATCGTTTTATTTATAGATTATGCTACATTTAATATCATCAGATAATATTTTGAAAATGTTTACAGTCTTGTACGTGATGAAATAAAAACCAAAAACAAAACACACTTAAACCCATTTTTCTCACCTATCTCCCTTCCTCCGTCCATTACTAGAGAGCATACAGGATATTTAAAGATGAGGATATTTTTTATTTTAGCAAGCAAAACTGGGAAAAAAAATTGAAATTAAGTTGTTTGGAACTAAGGATTCTGGGCGCCTGTTTGACTGCGCTGAATGTCTGTTTTAGAGTTGCACAAATCTTTGTAAGAATAACTGCATTTCTAATCCACTCTGAGAATAGGCTTTGGGTGTCTATTCGCCATTAGCTTTACAAAGTTGTGATGGTGCTTAGAGCATTGAGCTGTAATGTTATGGTGCTTGGTGTAATCCTTTGAGTGATTGGCTGAATGACTTCCTGGTTTTGTGGGAGCTCCCTGCCCAGCTATGGTTTTGTAATATATGCAGAAACTTTCAAAAAAGATATTATTTTATTTATTTATTTGGTGCTATTAATGCACGACCTTCAGTTGGAACCTGGCAGCCTTGTGTGAGTGTTGAACCCAGTGGATCATTAAAGTCTCAAAACAGCAACTGTTCCTCTGTCTTTACCACCTTTTTAGTGTTTTAAAAGCTGTTACCTTGTTTCAAACACCAAGACAGATGCAGTTGCTTTGGCACTGCCTGCTGACTCTTCTGCATTCTCGTCCAATCCAATGCTTCTCGCAGAGAAGCACTGGGGATGAGTTACACATGCGCGGCAAAACGCTGCACACCTCCAATGCTGCGAAGGGCAGCTTTTAATTGAGAGTTTGACTTCGTTCAGAGGTGGCAGCCCCCCTAGTGGCTGCCGGGAAGACATTGAGATGAAGTGGTCTGGGTGCCTTTAGTTGTCCTTTAACACACAATTTTTGCACATGGCATTTGTGTTCCGACACATTCTTTGATTGTTATATATTTCTAGACCTTATAAAATTTTTCTAATGTTGCACGATTTCTGCTTCAGCGGGTAATGGCAGCTTTACAATACATTTATTTATTTAGTAATTTATTCTGGGAATCTCCTGGGTCATTTTTGTATTAAATAACGATGGAGACACAACACTGGGGTCAAGAACTGATGGTTAAAACATTTTTTTTATTTTTTTTAAATGACAGGATCTCTGTGTTATAGTGGGGGCCTCTGGCACACCTACACTGTTGGCCTTTTAGCCATTAGGCTGAGTCAAACAAAGGCACACTAGCTCTCTGTGACTGCAAATCCCATCAAGACACATCCCAGCTGATTTGCTTTGAGTGAGTGCATTCGATTTCCTATCCTTCGTATGTCACATAGTTTAGCCATCTGTAATGTGACAATCCTAGATATTGGGGATGTTTTGAGTGTTGATCCTGCTATCACGTGTAGGTGTTGCCATGAAATGAGATATTTTAATCCTGTTAAACCACAGAGCTGTGCCACATTCCAGTGACTATGTGTCCGACAAGTCACAGCGTTGTCATGTGTTATTTATATGTAAGATCTAATTCTGTCTCCACGTTTTTAAAAAATCCCCCAAGCCAAAGAGCTTGCAATCTTTTTTTTTTTTTTTTCTTCCTAGAACTACTTAAACCTTTTGTAATAAAATTATTTTCCATAATTATCCCTGTGCCACAAGTCTTGCTATGTCTATATTCTATGTCTGTCTGCATTCTGTGTTAGACAGTATGGTTCTATACGCAGAGCTCTGTGAGAGAGTTGATCATTTTCAGAGCACAGCCTCCCTCCCTCCTTGCTTCCTTTATAATCAGTGCTATTTTAATCCCCTACTCCTTGCCTTGTTTTTAAACATGACCACGCACACTTATTAACCCATACCTGGCTGGGAGGAGCGTACGGTCTCTTATAACTGGCACGCGACCACCTATGGTGGTACTTATAAAATGATGACTATTTCAATTTTTTTTTTTTTTTTTATTGATTTGGATTTTGCTGATGTCAATAAGCCTCTTTATGTTATCAATCTATTATAAGTGCCTCAATTTTTCTACTTTAGCTTCCAATCAGCCCAACCCACTTTATCCACCCAGACCCCATTTATTATTTATCTCTCAATTCTCACTCCCCATGTATTTATGCCGTCTCAGACCCGACACCTTGCCATCGCTCTATACATATCTCTGTAAATAACCCCCCTTTTGGTGTTTATCCCTCCTATTTGTTTATTCTCACAATCCCGCAGTTTCAAGTTATCCCGCTGCCCCCCTGTTCTTGCTTGTATACCTTTCCCCATTCTGCATGTATATCCCATCCTGCTCTTTGCCCATAACCCAAATTCCACTCTTTGAATTTTCTCCTTCCAATTCCACCTGCATTTATATTTCCATCTATTTCACCCATATCCACAGATTCTAAATAATCTCCCCATGTATAAATCATCCAATCCTGTTTTTTTATTTTTTGTTTTTTTTTATTCTAGCATTGTAGAATGGACGTACGCACGCTGGTACCATTTAGTATCCTAACCCAATTTGGTTCTTTCTGCCTATATGTTCCTTTGCATTTATGCTCATAATCTCCCTTTTTAATATAATCTATATTTTATTTCTTCAAATATTACATAAGATTTTCACTTTACTCTGTATCAAGTAAGTTTCCCAAATATGTTTCCCTTCCAGTCATAATGCAATTACACTTTATCATGTCTTTACCTTTGTCCTCAGATGTCCTCCTGGCTGTAGATTAGTGCTGGGTTTATGTTTAATGTAATGTAGGAGATCTGACTGCAGAATATCAGGACAGGCTCAGACAGTGCTGGGTTTGTATCTAATATACAGCGACCCCTGACTGCAAGTTATTGAGACAGGCTCAGACAGTGCTGGGTTTGTATCTAATGTACAGCGACCTCCTGACTGCAGAATATCAGGACTGGCTCACACAGTTCTGTGTTTGTATCTATTGTACAGAGACCTCCTGACTGCAGATTATCAGGACAGGCTCAGTCAGTGCCAGGTCTATATTTAATGTACAGCGACCCCCTGACGGCACATTATCAGGACAGGCTCAGACAGTGTCGTGTTTATATTTAATGGACAGCGACCCCCTGACTGCAGATTATCAGGACAGGCTCAAACAGAGCTGGGTTTATATCTAATGTACAGTGACCCCCTGACTGCAGATTATCAGGACAGGCTCAGACAGTGTTGTGTTTATATTTAATGGACAGCGACCCCCTAACTGCAGATTATCAGGACAGGCTCAGACAGTGCCGGGTTTATATTTAATGTACATCAACCCCCTGACTGCAGATTATCAGGACAGGCTCAGACAGCGCTGGGTTTATATTTAATGGACAGCGACCCCCTGACTGCAGATTATCAGGACAGGCTCAGTGCTGGGTGTATAGCGATATCATAACAAGTACTTTAACCTTTTGTTGATATATTTCTTTATATTTCTTCCTCTTTAGCCGAACGTTGTGCAGAAGTTCGCCAAATCCGCGAGCAGCACCCTAATAAAATCCCGGTAAGTAGCAATATTAGAAATCAATGTAAGACAATCACACATGCAATTATATCACCTACAAACTGTTTCCCTGTTATATGGCGCGGTTCATATATATTTGGACAGTGACGCAGATATTGTGATTTTGGCTATGCACTCCAGCACATTGGCTTTATAATGGAGCAATGACTATGAAGATAACATGCATACTGTCAGCTTTACTTGCATGCTATATTAAACCATGAACTTTGTAGGAATTATATTATTGTAAACATAGTTTATCTGCTGGATAAATTAGCGTCACCTTGGACGGAGTGGTCATATTTTAACTTGTTTGGAAATTATTTCCTGTTAATGACTGTCTGATATCTGTAACATATGGATGTTATAGATACTGAGTACCCAGGTCTTCTAGGGTCTGTACTGCAGGAGGCATTGTAGCCTCTGTTTTTGGGTATTTTCCCATCATTTGTGTCTACAACAATAGAAACACATGCTCAGTTTAATTAAAGGGGCAGTCTAGTAACCATAATCACTACAGCACACTGTAATGTTTATGGTGTCAGGTGTCCCCTGGCATTGTCCAATATAAGTAGTGAAACTGTTTTAAAACTTGGTTTCCCTGGGCGAAGGGCCGGCACGACCACTAGGTGGATTAGGCAGCTGCCTAAGGTGCACTGGCCCAGGGGGGGCGCAATGCCCAGGCGCCCGACAGGACGGGAGCACAAAGCACTGCACTCCCCTCCTGCTAGTCTGTGTGTTGTGTTGCCGAGCGCAGACCGCGGTAGAGGAGCTTGTTTCCCTCTGCCTGGCCGGTCTGACAGGAAGTGAGGGCCCAATTGCTTCCTGTCAGACTGGAGAGAGAGAAATAAGCTCCTCTCCTGCGGTATCTACTCAGCAACACAACAAACAGGATGGATGTGAGCTTTAAGGAGACACATGGAGGGGTGGGGGGTAGACTAAGGAGACATGTAGAGGTACTGTTGAGGGGTTAAGGAAACACATGGAAGGACTGTGGGCGTTAAGGAGACACATGGAGGTACAAGGGAGGGGTTAGGGAGACACATGGAGGGGCAGCAGTGGTTAAGGAGACACACGGAGGGGCTGGCGGTGTTAAGAAGACATATGGAGGGGCTTTGGGGGGTTAAGGAGACATATGGAGGAGCTGGGGAAGTTAAGAAGGGGTTGGGGGGTTTAATGAGATACATGGAGGGGCGGTATGGGATAATGAGACACATGGAGGAGCTGGGGGGGGTTATGGAGACATATGGAGGGGCTTGCGGGTTAATTAGACACATTGGGACTAAGGAGGGGCTGGGGGTTAAGGAGACACATGAAGAGGTTGGGGGGGTTTAGGAGACACATGGAGGTTCTGGGGAGGTTTAAGGAGACACATTAAGGGGCTGTGAAACACTGCTTTCAGTGTCCTGTGAGACCAGTTAGTGGATACGATCATCTAACACGGGCAGTAAACAAGCAGGGGGAAGAGACAACGAAGGGATATGGGGGGACAAAGAGACAGACCGAGGAGCTTGGTGGGGCAAAGAGACACACAGAGGGGAAATGGAGACTAGATGGGAAGTACCTGGTGCACCCAGGTGAGTGTCAAACTGTCAATTTAGTGTGGGACTGTGACTGCGCCCACCATAAGCACTAAGGTGACAGGAAGTGGTTATGGCACCTAAACTTCCTTTTAAGGTCAGGAGATTGATTTGGCATTAATAAATAAAGATAAAATGACCAAATTCTTCGTTTAGATGACATTTAACATTATTTATTTATTTATTATTGTTTTTTTTTTTTTACTGTTTGCAACTGCAAGCATGCTTCAATGATCCGCTGTATTCGTTTCCCATGATCTCATAAGCACTTATACTTTTCCGTGTCTCATGTTGAGAAACAACAGCACAAACTCGTAAAGCAAATGCCTCACCTAGAATTACCTCTAGTCTTTCGTTGGCTCTCTTTTGCGTGATCTAATTAGGCAGCAACATACATTGCCAAGAACAAGACGAACGATGAGCGGCAAACTTTTCAATTACTTAAGAGAGAATAAAGATACAGAAAGAGAATTTAGTTCTCACATAATTTACAGCTTATTAATGTAAATACTATTAAAGTAAAGTTGTCATTCTGCACTTTATCCACTTTGTTTGTCATTGTTTAATTTCAATTGTTACATGTCGGAATGTAGTGCCGAAAGAACAGAACCTATCACTGTTTTAAGAACACTCTGTGTATGACCGGTTTATGGTAATGAATTATGCGTGTCTACCATCGACCAAGTTGCTTTTCCATTTCCTTTACTAGGGATTGGACTTTGCAGCAGGGGATAGGTTCTTTAATTTGACAAGTTGGCAACGCGTTTTCTTCCAGGTCGCTTACATCAGGTTTCATTAGATTAGTCAGCAGGTACCAAACACCATGAGAAGGACTTTCTTAAAATTTACTTTGGCCTAAAATCAAATGTGCTCCAAGAAAACACAAATTTTGCTATTCCAGTGAGGAGTAAGATGGAATGTCATAATTTACTGTCTGTCCTTTCTTTCCTGGTCAAAGAACGGAGGTGAGTATAGCTATTTTGCATTGTAACCTGAAGAGAGTGTGGAGAGGATCCACAAAAAGCTAGGTGTGAACTTCCTCTGAATTCTGACTTCTACTGAGTGACTTAAATCACTCAGATTAAAAAAACAAAAAACAAACTACAATTGTGGTGGCAGTGGTCTGGAAAACATTATGGCAGGTGAGGCACCAAGCTACACCCCCCTCCCTCTCGCTATTTTTGACGAAAAGCCAATATCTGTTCAAAATGAACTGGTTCCTTGAAGAGTGAGTTATACTTACCTTCAGCCTTGGCCGCGCTGGTCTCGGTGGGGAAGCTCCACCTCCCTGGCTGAGATCGAAGTTCCCAAAGGAAAGCATTTGGGATATTAGTGTGCATGCGCAGCAAAATGTCTTGCTGCGCCATTCAGATGGTCTCTATGAAACCATCTGATAGAAATATCAGAGCTTTACTGAAGTATTTTGTCGGAAGCGCCTCTAGTCTCATATTGAAAGTCACTAGAGGCATTTAAACCCTTCAGAACAGCAATGTTTCCATTTGTAGGAATAAAACGAGAGGCTTCATTGAGGATGAAGTGGTTTGAGTGTCTATAGAGTTAATTTACACCCTGGGAAGCAATTCCACTTATTACAAAGGATATATAGAATTCCTATCTAGACTGTCAACCGCTGTAGTTTTATTTATTTATTTGGCTCAGGTAAGCTGTACAAATATTTGGAAAGGTAGAGGAGCAAGTATAGCTGTATTTTTACATCGGAGTATCATTTGGGGACTATTATGTGCTCATGTTACAGTAGGTAACCAGAGACTTAGGAGGAAGGGGCTTGTTAATAAGATCCTTCTCACAGTTTCGGTGACATCATGCTGTATGTGAAGACACCAAACATGAGAACTTTTAATAGTGGAAGGTCTTCGATAAGGAAGCACCTCTATGGCTAATAGTCTGACAGAGGTGTCTTTGTGATCAGATGTAAACATCGCTGTTTTCTGAAGCAGTAATCTTCTACACAGCCAGACTGCAGGGACTATGCTCCAAAACCACCTCATTAAAATAAGTGTACCATTAAAGTTTGGAAATGTGTTTGTTTTATTTATTTTAAAGGGACACTATAGTCACCAAAACAATTTTAGCTTAATGAAGCAGTTGTAGTGTATAGATCATGCCCCATGCACTCTCATTGCTCAATTATATGCCATTGAGTTAAATCCCTTTATCTATGTAGCCCTAGGCACACCTTCCTGCATGTGACTTACACAGCCTTCCTAAACACTTCCTGTAAAGAGTCATCTAATGTTTATACTTCCTTTATTGCAAATTCAGTTTCATTTAGAATTTTATTTCTCCTGCTCTGTTAATAGCTTGCTAGACCCTGCAGGAGCCTCCTGTCTGTGGTTAAAGTTCAAATTACAGAGCAGGAGGGGAGAATTTTTAAAGTGAGTCACATCTGATTGGAAATTAAACAATTTTGTTTTCATGCAGGCTGTGTTTGTGACAGACAGGGGAGGTGTGTCTAGGGCTGCATCAACAGAAGCAAAAGTAATTTTCTGCCTAAATGGCAGAGAATTGAGCAGTGAAACTTCAGGGGCATGATCTATACATCAAAACTGTTTCATTAAGCTAAAGTTGTTTTGGTGACTAGAGTGTCCCTTTAAGATGTGCAGGGTTGGTTAACATGGACTCCAATAAACTTATAGGGGTTGTGAAATACATGTGTGTATTAGAGCGGTTCATGGAATGGATTAAAAAAATTTTGTGAGTGCAAGGTTTAGCATTGTGAGTTAAAAGGATACTAAATGCACCCAGACCATTTCATCTCAATTAAGTGGTCTGGATGCAGAGCCCCTTTGTTTAAACCCTGCAATGTAAACACTGACATTTTGTAGAAATGGCACATTTAGAAACAGCACTGTTTTATTGCAGTTTAAACACAGCTGACAACCACTAGAGATGTTTCCACTCCGATAACAGAGTCAGATTCAGTTATTCAATGAAATGCTTCTCAAAGGGATCATTGATTGGACAAATACAGCGTTTTGCTGCGCAGGCGCATCTTGTCCTCAGTGCTTCTCATAGAGAGTACGAAAAACACATACTTTTTAACAAAGATGAAAGAAGACCTCCTGGTTACAGTGGCGTTGTCTTGGCACTTAAAATTAGGTATTAAAACTTTTAACCGGAAGGATGGGAGGAGGGGGGTGAAGAGAGGTCACAGCAATTAAAGTGATCTCATATTCCCCAAAAAATATTATTACTTTTGGGACGATAAGTTCCCTTTAATAATCAGTATCTTAGAGTTATACACAGGACACAAGGTTGACCAGATACAAGAGGTGATGAGAGTCCTGCTCAAACAAGCTCTGTACAAGTCCATTTTAATTAGAATGCCCTTTTATTTACTCAGTGTTTGGATATCACGGAAAAAATAGTTCTCTTTTTTTTTCCAGTCAAAGAGCTTTGATTTCCTTACAGCTGCAGGGTTATTTGAGATGTAAATTAGAGGGATAGCAGTAATTATGCAGCAAGGTAGTATTACTGCCATCTACCCTTAGGGCAGTAACAAGCGTTAGGGATAGCAGTCAAAAACTTAAAGGGACACTATAGTCACCTGAACAACTTTAGCTTAATGAAGCAGTTTTGGTGTATAGAACATTCCCCTGCAGCCTCACTGCTCAATTCTCTGCCATTTAGGAGTTAAATCCCTTTGTTTATGAACCCTAGTCACACCTCCCTGCATGTGACTTGTACAGCCTTCCATAAACACTTCCTGTAAAGAGAGCCCTATTTAGGCTTTCTTTATTGCAAGTTCTGTTTAATTAAGATTGTCTTATCCCCTGCTATGTTAATAGCTTGCTAGACCCTGCAAGAGCCTCCTGTATGTGATTAAAGTTCAATTTAGAGATTGAGATACAATTATTTAAGGTAAATTACATCTGTTTGAAAGTGAAACCAGTTTGTTTTTTCATGCAGGCTCTGTCAATCATAGCCAGGGGAGGTGTGGCTAGGGCTGCATAAACAGAAACAAAGTGATTTAACTCCTAAATGACAGTGAATTGAGCAGTGAAATTGCAGGGGAATGATCTATACACTAAAACTGCTTTATTTAGCTAAAGTAATTTAGGTGACTATAGTGTTCCTTTAAGAGTACTTGCCACTTACACAGGTGGTGAGCTAAAGGCATATCCCTGGCTATTGTAAAATACCTGGCAAAGCAGGGAGGTAGTTGTTGTTAATCAGCCTATACAAAATCCCTTTTGGCCACTACTGAATTACATAGTAGATGCATCTCCAAGAGGTTCAGGAGAAATAGAATTGGTTCCTCATGGTTCTCTCTCATTGACGAACTGATACAGGTCACAGAAGTAACATTTAGCAGGTTTGCTGGTGTTCCCTTTACAAGTCTAACCCATAAATAACCACAACAATTCCATACAAGCAAGAACGGTTCCATACTGATTTTGGTGTCACCTCTTTGTCCTTTATTGAATCATTCTTTACAAACCGATAGCTAGGTGATAGTTGGATATATATTTATGAAATTCTGTTTTATTCGTTTTCCTTTACCTGTCTTCATGGGTGGCTCAGCATGTAAGGAAACATGTTGACTCTTCATTGTGTTTGTCCCTAGGTCATTATTGAACGATACAAGGGAGAAAAGCAGCTTCCTGTGTTAGATAAAACCAAATTTCTGGTTCCTGATCATGTAAATATGAGCGAGCTGGTGAAGATTATCAGGTGAGATTGCGCACTTTATTGCTACTCTACATAACATGTTCCAGGTTTATCTCTAAACGCTCCAAATAGCCTAATTGTATAGCCTTTAACCCCTTAAGGACACATGAAATGTGTGACATGTCATGATTCCCTTTTATTCCAGAAGTTTGGTCCTTAAGGGGTTAAAGGATCACTATAGGCACTCGGACCACTTTATCTCAGTGAAGTGGTCTGGGTGCAGTGTCCCTGTCCCATGAAACCTGCAATGTAAAACACTGCTATTTTCGAGAAACTGTGTTTACATTGCATGGTTAAAAATCATACCGACAGCCACTAGAGGTATTTCCGCGGCACTGACTGCGTAAAAGCCGGTCACATGACGCGGAAGCCCCATAGACCGCAACGATTCAATGATTTTTAGTATGGAAAGGTTTGAATTGGATGATAGGAGGATGGCGATGACACCTGAAAAAGAGTTGGGATACTATAGCGTTACTAATACGGATTTGTATTCCTAACGCTATCGTTTTCCTTTGACTGGTTCCTTCCACTGATTCCCTTCAATTATATATGGAACTTCTTACTATAGCTCATTCTGTTATTCCGCATAACACTTGTTATAGTAACATCATGCTATATGGTTTTTGCTCTGTATAATGATATAATAATCTAGGTTGAAAACTAATTTTGAGTTCATAGAGTTCCACCAATAAAATGCATCTTTTTATGCTGTTGGTCTAAAAAAAAAAAAAAAGGCAACAGCAATTTGAAGCAATAACCCATTGTGCCACAAAAAGGGAGAAAAAAAAAATCTTCTTGACTTCACAATGGCGATCCGATTTCTCCTTGGATCAAAAACCAGCTCACATACGTTTTTTATATGCTTGATTATTTTTCAAAAAACAAACAAATATAAAAAGAAAACATCAAGGCCTTTGTTAAAAAATATATATTTAAATATTCATCTATTTTGGCTCATCTTATTGCAGTGCACAAGCACTCCTGTTGCCCCATTTAACATTCCTATTCAAAGGGACACTCTAAGCACCATAATCACTAAATCCATCTGTAGTGGTTACGGTGCTAATAGGCTGTGAGTGATCCCTGCTCTCCATATTGCTAGTGAGGAAGTTACATTCCTACATTACCAAGATTAATTTCTGCTATTTTTGGATGGTAGTGATACGCTGACGAAGATCAGCCTACTAGCACCATTACAATTGAATTTAGTGTACCCTCCCTATAACTCCTCCTATTGCTCATATAACCCTCCCTATAACTCCTCCTACTGTTCCATATAACCCTCTTATAACTCCTCCTACTGTTCCATATAACCCTCTTATAACTCCTCCTACTGCTCCATATAACCCTCCCTTTAACTCCTGCTATTGCTCCATATAACTCTCCCTGTAACTCCTCCTATAGTAATATGGAGGTTTGAATTGGATGATTCCCTATAACTCCTCCTATTGCTCCATATCCAGAGGTAACCCTGCCTCTCTAGCCTATACGCAGCATATGGAAAGTTTATTGAAGAGAGTGCACTAAGTAACACTCTACCAGCTGTTTGGCTGGGATTTAACTGGGATGGGGGGGTTTCATGTTTTTATTTATAGGAGCATTGTATGTAACAAGGGTCTCTGAGCACCCCAGTTGAACAATATGTGCACGTTTTAGGCAGTTCCAAAGAGTCTGGAGCTGGGGAATAATAATATAGCCCCTAAAGCCCACTGTGTTCCATAAAAACTTTGCTATATCTCTCCCATTGCTTTATATAACTCCTCCCTAGAGCGCTTACTATTGCTTCTTTTATGTATATAACATCCCTTCAACTAATCAAGTTGCTTCGAAACTGGTAAATATAGTCTTGAACCTTAGCCCAGTGACACAAACAGAAGAAAAAACAAAAAACTGTAGCATATCTTCCCCCTAAATCTTGGTTGTGCTGTGACTTACAGGTTTACTTGCCAGTGGCTGGCGGAGAGCGAAACGTTCTGAACCCTGTACTACACTACTGGAAATATAATTAAAAAAAACAAACAAAAAAATAGCACTTGCTTGGGAAAATGGAAGCACATTGGATTTGTGCGTTCATTTTATTTCAGATTCCGTTTCTTAAATGCACTTACAGTCCCTCTAATATATTAAAAGTTAGGTTAATATCATCCTTCTTTTAAATTCTTTCTTCCACCCAGCTCAGTTAATCTTAATTCAATTTCCTCTCCTTTTTCAGGCGCCGACTGCAACTGAATCCGACCCAAGCCTTCTTCCTCCTAGTCAATCAGCGTAGCATGGTGAGCGTATCTTCCGCCATTTTGGATATATATGAACAAGAGAAGGATGAAGATGGCTTCCTGTATATGGTGTATGCTTCACAGGAAACCTTTGGTTAATAAATGTCCTCGGCCCATCTGGCTCCACGGTGTATGTTTACCCAAGTCTACAAACCAACTCACTAACACTTGCTCCTATGTCGAGAGAGAGACAAACACACACATAAGCGACACCTAAGTACCCACTCATACTCTGGTATTGTACAAACATTCCACCTAGGTTTGCACGTTTACCTGTGTGCAGACTGCCTACTGAATATACACATTCTCTCATGAATATACACGCGCATATATATATACTTTTTCAGCTGCACACGGGAGAGACCTGCTTTCTGTTCACCTACTTTCTTTTGCCCAAGCACAACAAGGTTACCTAGTAATAATAGCAAAGATTGTGTGTAACTAATTGTTGACCTGTTTTGTGTAACGAGGATTCTCCACCTTTGTATACACTGTGTACCTTGTAGATAGGAAATGTCGACCTTTCGAGTTACATCCCCCGCTTATTACATTTCCTTTTAAATATTTAATAGTCACCTTTTATGTTAGCAGCACAACCTTTAGCTTGTGAGGGTGTTAAATGCCCCAGCAAACCAAACTGCCCCTTTGCCTTGGAGTTAATGTTATGGCTGCCAAAACAAAAGAAAAACGGCATTTTAGGTATTTTCTGCCGTAACCAGTTAGGTTTTTAATGTTACTTCAACGGGTTTCAAAAAGAAGTTTCAGCAGTAGCTATAATCTAGCCTGTTTTATTTTTTTTGTATGTCTGTTTTAATTAGCCTGATGTGGGCAAAATGTTTTTAATGTACATTTTAGTTGTAGAAATTTAGACTCATTGATATGATTATGGAACACGTGTATTAATGTAAATGTTCACTATAAGTTTTTTGCCATCCTGATTTTCTGTTTACTCTGTTGTATTATCTGTTTGGGGGACGGGGGTCTACCTTTTTAGAATTGACATGGAGTGAAATTGATTTTCCCCTTCCAATAAATAAAATATATAGAAACCAATGTGTATATATAGAGATGTACCACATGTATAAAGATAAATAAATACAATATTGTGTCAGACATACTTTTTATGGTTTTGTATAGAAATGTTTATCTGGCTCTGGTGGGTGGATCAGGGTTTAAAACAATACAATCATTTTACTTAAAGGACCACTATAGGCACCTAGACCACTTCAGCTGAATTAAGTGGTCTGGGTGCCAGGTCCAACTAGGATTAACCCTGCCTGCTGTAAACATAGTTTCAGAGAAACTGCTATGATTACACTAGGCTTAATCCAGCCTCTAGTGGCTGTCTCACTGACAGCCGCTTCTCACTAATTTTCACAGTTAGAAGACGCCAGCGTCCATAGGAAAGCATTGAGAATGCTTTCCTATGGACTGCCTGAATGCACGCATTCAGCCGATGACATCAGGAGAGGGAGGAGAGTCCCCAGCGCTGGAGAAAGGAAAGTGTTTAACCCGCTTCAGTCCGGCAGGAGTGGGACCCTGAGGGTTACTGTTCACTGTCCTGCAGAAATATCTGTACCAAGAGATTTGTTCAATATGTTCTACAGCTATGCTAGTATTGCATTTTTTTCTTACCCCAAACTGTCTGCTTTTCCACCCATACCCTTTTCTTTACCTCTTACAACCCCATCCACCACCAAGCAACAGGGGGACGCGGTGGCGCCGCCCGCAGACTGACGGAAAGACCGGAGACCGACAATAAGGTACAATAGCACATTCTTAGACTCAACACATGGAGCTTAAACTTACTTCCCTTAACGTCACCGACCTCAAGGTGCCAAATAAACGCAGACTATTACTTAGAGAACTACGGAGACAAAACACAGTCATAACCTACATACAAGAAAGCCATATCCAAGCCACGTCAAAGAGTCAAATCACCGACCATGTATACACAAGGGCATATGCATCGCGCACACTCTGCAAACAACACGGTGTAGAAAGTCATACACAAAAGGTGCCCTTTTAACGTGCCGACAGGACCGGTGCACGGATTTTTGCCGTCCCCACCACGTGACATCACAATGCCCCACCCATATGCTCTGCCATATGGGCCATCGCCAGTTCTGAACAAAGTCTCTTATCGAAAAAGGCAGTGTGTTTACATTAAAAAGCCTGCAGGGACAGGCTATAGCCACCAGAACCACTACATTTAGCTGTAGTGCTTCTCATGACTATAGTGGCCTTTTAATGTGAGATAAATTAGAGATAAGTGCCACTAAAAAATATACTGGATTGCCTACTTACCACCAGATGAGGATAAGAGGAGGATGATGATGGGCTCAGGCTGCAGTCTGGCTCCACAGGTCTGGTGTAGAAGAGGCTCTCTGAAGACTAACAGTGCTCACAACAATTAACGAACAGGAAGCCGCTCTATTTTGGAGGCCCCTTAAAACAGCTCAAGGTCAGGGCCTGACCGCGAGTATGCCTACAAGGCCCAACCATAAGTTCTCTCACAGGGAGTTGATTGTATGTATGTAGGGGTGTGTTATTGTAGAGGATGTAATGTGTGTTTTCTGATGGAATGTAGTGTATAGGGATACCAATTTGTGTAAGGGATGCAAGGTGTGTTTCGGTGTATGTATTTTAATGCAGTGTGTGTAAGAGATGCATTGTGTGTGTGTGTGTGTGTGTGTGTGTATAAGGGATGCATTGTGTGTTTCGGTGTGTGTGTGGAATGCATTGTGTATGTGTGTAGTGTAAAAGAGAGGGTTTGTGGGGTAGGATAGGGACTGAGAGGGGAACAGCTCTTTATTTATTATTTTAGTTTTTTTTATAGTGCTCTACCCTCCTGTCAATTAGTTATCTCCCCCCCATCCCTCCTGTCCCCACCTTGGTGGTCTTCTCACTCCCCCTTCCCTCCCTTAGTGGTCATCCTCTCCCCCCACCCCCTTAGTGGCCCTCCCTTTCCCAAACCCCTTAGTGGTACTCTTACCCCCCACCCCTCCCTTAGTGGTCCTTTCCCTCCTGCAGACTATACATAGAGGTGCCGACGGCAGATACATAGCACTTACAGGCACAATCAACACGACCACTTCACATGATAAACGTGTATGCCCCTAACACCCCTGGACCGCACTAGAAACCCTTATAGGCTCACTGGTAGGGGGAATAATAATTTGAGGAGGGAGAGGGAGAAGGGGATCTGAATGCAGAGCAGTATCCAGCGGTTGACCTCAGTGGCAGGGCCGGACTACCCAGGGCTCAGGGCAGAGGGGGACAGGATAGGCTCCTCAATAAATTCATACAAAACACTGGCCTTTTAGACCCCTGGAGAATCCAACACCCACACACACAATAGATTACACATACTACTCTGGAGTACATTCCACATATTCCCGCATTGACCTATTCCTCACGACTCCGCTGGGCATGCAATGGACACAGTCCGCTCCAGTCAACCTCATCTTGTAGTCAGACCACGCGGATATCGCCTTAACCCTGAAGGTGCCGAGATCCCATGCACCCTGGAGATGGAGACTAAACTCCCTCCTACGAGACCAGGAGGTCCTAGATCAGCTTAAAACAAAATTAGTTGACAACATACTTCCAGACAAACCCCAACCATACTCTGGGCTGCCCATAAGGCAGTCTTGAGAGAGGTATTGGTCAAAATAGCCACACATCATAAAAAACGAAAAACAGAGCGGTTAACGGAACTCCAAATGGCCCTATGCAAAACAGAAATGCAACATATACAATGCCCCACACAGAAAAAAAAAAAAAAAAAACTACGGGAGCTACAGAATATTAGACATTTTCTGCAGGACTTTCTCCTAGACAATGTAAGCAGAGAGGTACTCCACTCTAAGCAGCTCTTTTACAAGAAGTCCAACAAAATGGACACTCAAACCTAAACAAAAACTAATTACGGCCATTAAAAAGCACCCAAGGCAGAACCCTGACCACACCCAAGGAAATTAATAAGGAATTCACAGAATTCCTGAGCCAAGTTTACAATCACTCCCCAACTCTAAATAACGCCAACGTGGACTACGTCAAAACAGTCAACAAGTTCCTAGACAGAGTACATCTACCCAAACCCAGTGAGGGAGCCCTGACCGACCTATGCTCACGAATAATGCCGGATGAGGTAGAGAGGGCTATGGGGATGCTCAAGAGCAACAAGGCGTCGGGCCTAGACGGGTTTGATGGATAGTACTACAAAACATTACGAGAGGAACTAGTACCACACATGACTGCCATGTACACAGAAAGGATGAAGGGAGGACACCCCAACTCAGCACTCTCCTCTGCCAACGTTATACTTATCCCAAAGTACCCTATCTCACTAATTAACTTTGATATCAAAGTATACGCCAAAATCCTAGCTACCAGACTGAACCAAATACTGCCCAAGCTCATACATGCAGGTCAGGTGGGCTTCATCCCAACAAGACAATTACATGAAAACACTAGAAGAGCAATTGACATGATATGGTGGGCCAGTAAGACTCGAACGCCTTGTCTCGTCTTATCACTCGACACGGAGAAGGTCTTCAACAGGAACCAATGGCACATTAGAGGATTGGAATACACAGGGCTACAGCGGTATTGCCAAATGTATGATAAGGACGAGTTTAGGGCGTTTGATGGACTCAAACAACTTGCACCGCTAACCACAAAAGACCATTTCAGATATATTCAATTAAGAGACTTTGCTAGGAAACCACACATATGAGCAGCAGTCAGGGCCCCGCTCACATTCTACGAAAGACTTTGCATGACAGAGATAGCACATAAAGGTTTGATCACCTCTTCTATGCCCAGCTCAGCTCCCCAGAGAGCAACGAAAAAACCCTTGCATACATTGCACAATGGGAAACAGACCTACACCAAACCTAGAGGGAAGAGAATGGCAGAAGTTTCCATTTGTGTGGCGCACCAAGAGCAGTCATACAAAACTTTCTTAAGGTGGTACACCACTCCTGTCAAACTACATAGAATGGGCAAAACTCCCACAGATGACTGCTGGAGGGGCTGCGGTGCAAAGGGGACCTATATCCACGTGTTAGACATGTCCAAGGGTGGAGAGCTTTTGGATAGCAATAGAGAAGTAAATGACTGATGTACTGGAGAGACCTGTCGGTAGGGACCACTAGACCTATCTTTTGGCCAAGCCACTAGATGGACTCGCGGCACGGGAACAGAAATTAGTGAATAAAATCACACTGGCCCAAAAATAACTGACATCCCTCCACTAGACAAAGTTATTGCGGACATGAAAGATACCTTCCTCATGGATAAACTGACAGCGCAAGTGCGTAATAAGAAAACTGCCTTTAACAAGGTGTGGCAGCCTTGGGAGGAATTCCTGGGAAACAAAGGCAATCCGTAAACAGACAATCGGGAGACTTAACGGGACCACAAGGACCCCTGTCTGGTGTTGATGCGCCCGAGTCCCCCCCTCCCAAGTTCTCTCTTTCTATCCTCTCCTGCTAATCCCCCCCCCCCTTTCCCGACAACTCTCTCATTACAACGCAGTCCAAGATGGAGCAAACCGACTGATGGGCACACCAGGGTACCTGCACCTTACTAACCGGTGCACACCACAGCTGGTGCCCAGCTCCCGATTTACTATGTCAACTGCATCACAGAGTGTAACGCAACATACACAGGCATTGATTCAAATATAAAATTACCTACAGTGAACCCTGTCATAGGCCTTAACTATGTACACTTTGTATGCAATGCTACCATTTTGTACTTTCAAATACAGAATTGTAAAAGGAGAAATTGAAGGATGGCACAGAGACACTAAACTGATATACAAAGTCAGGCTACAAAATCTGTATGTACTTTATAAAACACTGATGTACCTCACACTAAGTTTTTGGCATCTGCGTAAGCCTCATTGTACCTGCCATGATAAGTGTCTGTCATCCAAACAAAGAATAAAATTTTTATTTTTTTTAAATCTGAAAATAAACAAAATAAATCACATTATAGGTTTCCTTTATCTTACCAGTCTGACAATAGACCACTGTATCCAGGGTATTTTAGAAAATAAAAAATTTCTTTCACTAACTCGTCAAAAACAGAACCTAAAAGCTGGTCCATCTAAAAGAGGTATATATACACATTTGTCACAGTTAATTATCCAGCTGCAGATATTAAATTGTATGAACTATAGCAGGTGTCACAGTAGTTTTAATAACACAATAACAAGTGAATTATCGAAACAAAAAGGTAATTCCATGCCTAAATTGTGCCCCCATTACTATTTTACTAAAAGCTCTTAGGAACACCGAGCACTTTCAAAGAGCCATGATTTGATTTATTTTTAGTATCTCTGTACTTGGTGTTAGAATATATTGCTTTCAGATACTCTTGAGATTGAAGTAATAAGGCCACTGATTTAGCCACAATTAACCAACATATGTCCTTTTCTGCTTCTTCCATAGCCTCTTCTACTGCAACATGATTTCAAGTAAAATTTGAGTTATCATAATTCGAGACGTACTTTGATTTCCAGTTTCTGTATAACCACGTCTCACCCCACCGTTCTAACTGCAAGGGTCCATAGATAGCTGGGTAGGTCTACAGATATAACCCCCTCCCCGTCTATATTCATAACATTCACTAAAAACTGCTTATTTTTAACATTCCTTTCAGTTAACTTGGGTTTCTCATGCTTCTGATGTTTTGGACTACATCTACCCTGATGCTTTGGTAACACTATGGCTGTAAGACCATTATGGAAGATATAGTCCACAAACATCTGGAGTGCTGAAGGTTGACTGTCAACACCTGTTCTAGGACTATCTTCACTGTTCGTTTATTTGAAGACAATTTTGTAAACATTCCATGGGCACACGAGAATATAAACATCAAAGAGTGAGGTTTAATAGGTTTTTCCGATGTCATTAAGCAGTATGGTTCTAGGAGAAGCATAGTCATAGATGTTCACAAATGATGCTAGTCTGTTCCTATCATTAGCTTTCCACATATGTGGGCATTGGGTACCATCTCAGTGTAGTTTTGTATCGTTAGGGCCTCCTGAATGTTCATTTGGTCTCTGAGCTAATTTCTCCTCATTTTGTCACTGATGGGTACGTCAAGAGAGCTTGATAGTGTTTGGATATAATCTCTCTCTCTGTCTCTTCCCAACCATCCAAACCAAGTATTATGTTCTTGTATCTACAGTGCAGACCTGCGAGAGACATAAATTTGAAGTTGCAGAAAACAGAGGTGTTTTTTGTTTTGTTTTTAGACATGTCTGCTCAGCCTGCATTTGATAATTTCAGAATCTTTTTGGGGAGAAAAGTCATTAAAAAAAAAAAAGCCCAGAGAGGAGGCCGGGTTTTAAAATAGGTTGGACCTAGCCCTCCAAATAGGGTAAGCATGGGGGAACTTTAGTTTTCTTTATTGACCCCTTGTTTTATCAAACTTTTTGCGTGGGTAATGTTTGGTTGATTAATTTAGAATTATTAGACCAATATTAACTATCAAAAAGATGAAACAAAAATCTGTAACCCTAAAAAGGTGTTTTCAAAGTCTCTCTTCACATTTTTAGTGATTAGTTCCATGTAAATGCTATTAATCCTGTCACATTGGTCAATAATAATAGATTTATTTTATTTTTGCATTACTGTGCCAATGTCACTTTGGACACCCACAGACACAAGTTAGCTCCCAGTATACAACGCTGGTCGAGTAAGAATATCAGCAAGTAGCTCTGTGAGTGGGAATTCAGGCACTAAACACTGAAAGATGGTTTCACTATACAGAGATATACAATGTGTTACGGGCATGGACACATGCTGATACTCCTAAATACAATGCCACTTTTGTAGATAAAAGGACCAGGTATTGGACTGATCATGAATCATGGCACTGATCAGGATATATGTGAGGTACTCTTTGCACTAGCAATCTCTTTAGTCCCCACATAGACATGCACTCATTAACAAACACTATAGACATGACAAACCCAGAAACACACTCCTCTGCGTTGATGGAGCAGACATGAAAAGAAGGGGGCCATAAAGTGAGTAAACTGCGAGGCAAGTACATTGCAGAGAGTCAGAGACAGAGATATAAAACAAGGGGAAAAGTTTAAATAATTGTCAGGTTAGCCAGCACAACACTGTATATAGAGACATAATCTCTGTATTCAGCATTCAGAGTCTCACAGCAGTGTGGCTTCTAATGCTCCTACACTGTAATCGTGGCATAATCTGAAACAAAATGTGTTTACTTTGAAGTTATGCAACTCGTCTACGCACAAGTCATGACATGAAGGGGTTAATGTGTAACGTGTAAGAGAAAAGGGACAGTGGTGCTATACAAAAGGTGCGTTAAAAAAAACAAAACACCAAATATCTAGAAAGTCACTTGCAATTTAATAACACTACAATACCATATTATTCAATGAGGCCTCATTTATTAAGGTCACAAATCCCCCAAAATAAATAGAACATACAAAATCAAAGTTGTTTGGAACTGAACTAAAATGATATTAATTTCAAAATTTATCTCGAAAACTATATTTGTATTCTGTACCTTGTGGCAGCGCCAGTTCTTAATTTAGCAGACATAGATTATCTTGAAGCCGTATAAATATGGAATTGTCGTTTGTATGGACTCATTTTGTTTAGCGATCAAGCAAACAAATCAATCAAGGCTATCTAACCTGAGAGCTCAGTCAAAATTTTTTTTTTTTTTTAAATATTACTTAACACTTTCATTTACTGGGTCTGGCCCAAAGGCAATTTAAATCTACAGGATCTAAGGTCTGCCCAATTTAAGGGAGTAATTCATGATCAGTAGCTTTGGCTGTGCTATCAGGACTATAAGTGTAGGGGATTTATCCAGAGGAGCTGAACAGACAAAATTGCAAACAAGCACAATGAAATTTAGATTCCAATTAATAGAACAACAAAAAAACAGGACATTTGCAAATAGCCAACTGCATGAAAAGCTAAAATATATATTTTATGGTAGAGTACCTTTAAATGCTAGAGATTACCATTTTTTTAAGTGGCAAGCATTTTAAGCAACCCTTAGACTCCGTTCAGGGCTTGCCTGAGATATTCTGCTTTGTTCAAATAGGTGTCCTATTTTGAATTTAAATTAGTGTACTAGTCAACCTTTAATTGTTTTTATTGCCATCTCTTCCTGATAGTAATGTCACAGTGAATTGGCTTTCCTTGACCTGCAGCTTAATTGCAGAGATAACAAGTCAAGTTACATATTCCTGGGTCACTTCACTAAACTTTGCGGTACAGAGAAATGAGAAAGGTATTGGGAAAAAAATGCTTAGCTGGGGAAATCTTTCAATCTCTCCTGTGACCTACAATATGCAGTTTTCTTGTCAGTTCTCCCAATACCAGATTCAGTTGCTAAAACCCAAACAGTAAGCAAAAGAGTGCTTATGAACTGGAAGCTAATCGGCATTCTGACATGGCTTTGTACGCCTTTCAGAAAGAAGGGCCATAAGATAAAGTTGAATTTTCTTTATCTTTGCAATAACTTTACAGTAGAACACACACAAAAAATAAATAAAAATGCACCACCATGTAACCCAGTTTTTGTAAATAATTTGATTAGGTTAGCCAAAACATAACATGCTCTACATTAGACCATTTTTATCTTCATACCAGATCTTAGACCATTATTTATATGCTCAATGCATATTGCACATCTCAGTGAAAACATAGTTCACAAACATATGTGCTGCTAAAGCACACAGAGCAGAAGGCAAATTGTAAAGCGCTGCTCAAAGATAAACATTTACTTCTATTAAAAGAGAATAGAGATTTTAGTGCATCATCTTCCTGCTACTTGTTGAGAAACCTGACTTCTACTTGGCTCTAGAACACAAAGTAAAACGTATAGCCAGTTACTGGTCAGAATGCAATATGAAAAGAAAGACAGCATCTCCGGAGATTTATTCCAATCGAAAAATGGGGAGAAAAGTTTGGTTTTTTTCGTGGGGCCTCAAACTAAAGCTTGTTAATCTGCTCTGGGACAACACTGGAGTGCTGCAAATCATGTGCCCTGATCTGTGCCGTGTGTGGCTTATATAATTAGAGGGCACACACACGCACAACCGACTGACATTAATTCTTCAACCCAACACATCTTGATAGCGTTCATAGGCACACTAGAAATTAAGGCAAATATTAGACCAAAATGGTTAAAGTAAATACAAATCTGACTTTGAGAATTTTTCCACTTTGGTTTTGTTGCCTAAAAAAAAAATAAAAAAATGTAAATTAAATTTTTCATGAATAACCATGCAGAGTGTCTAATTTATCGTTTTAGCCTGATAGGGCTATAAAATTGTGGCTTCATATTTTTACAGATGTGTCTTTTTTATTTAAATGGTATGGTTGTTTATACAGAAGGACTACTTTACTATTAAAATAGTTTATGCGTTACTATGAGACTGTAATAGCCGGATATTATTTGGCGGACTGTGATTTATAATTTGACTAGGGAGGTCAGTTTGAATTTAGCCAACAGCGAATGTCCACACTGTGTGTGGGGGAAAAAAAAAAAAGGAGATCTTGCACTCAAAGAGCTAATATTTAGACAATACATTATTGGACCTTCAGGGAAAAGAGGGTTGTAAGATGAATTTCTCTATTCCTTACAATAGCAATCCATGTAAAATCTGACACTATCGTTAAAAACAAAACAAAACAAAAAACCATATAAAAGCTAGATTTTGTTGACAAGTTTCACTATGCTAAAATGTGAACATATGAAGTTTCTGCCACAGGAAGTGTTCCATCGAGCGGTACACGTTGATTTTACAGTAAAGGTAATCATTCTGAAATGGAGTGCTACAATATTAAGGCCATAAGAGACCAAACTGCGATTCTCCAACTGGTATCAGAGAATAAGTGTCCGTCCCAGAACAGAGGCAGACAGAAAGCTGAGCACTTCAGGTAAACACACAAACATTCTAAGAAGTAGGCAATAGCAAGTGAACTTGCCACATCCATCCTGTTCTTACATGCAAGTTGGTTATAAATTACCACATCCCATACCGTCCCTATAACATTAAGAATTAGGGCAGGCTCACCTCCAGTGGGGTTAAAATACCCTTTCACCTAAAGATGCTTAAAAAAAAAAAAAAAAAGCCATGCATGAGAATAGTAATAAAATAGGCTAAAACAACTAAAATAAACCATTCCCCATCCAGCCACGAACGCAGAAATTTACTGGGACAGTCATTACCTCTCAGCTGTATGAACAGTACAATTTTTTGCAGTCTCGATTTACAGGGCACGGAACAAAACTGCCTATTGCTGGACTGTAATAGGAAGTCCTGAACCAAAATCATCACAGCAACGAGTGCCACCTTGAAATTCATTTCCATAAATCCCCATCTATCACAGACTTTCCCAAATAATATACCACCCTCGGCAGAGGTTAATACTGTGTGAGTTGGTAGAAGAAAGGCAAAAACAATCCCAGGTTTACTTTGCGGTTTGAAAATCTTCGATTATGAAAAAAAAGTGACAAAACACAGTCATCTTCAGATGTAAATCTCCTTTTAGGTACCATGTATGGACAAGCTTCACGTGACACTTAATGGTCTCCCTGCATAGCATGGGGGGATCCTGCCCCCATCATATCATAATGTCCCTTGATTCATACCGGCTTCCTAGTGTCTTCCAACTGTTTATTTCAAAATCAAAGTGGCTTCAGTTCCATCCTTTTTCATTATATAGAGACCATGTTGAAGGTGATACTCTCTTCTTAAAAATGCATAAAAATAGTCTGACACCAGAAGAATCTGCAAAAAAATAAATAAAAAAAAAATCAAAAAAAATCACAGAGTTCTTAATTTACACTATTTCCGCTTGCAAAGTTGGTGTTTAATTCCTTAAAGTTCTTTAGGAATGAAAAGTATTTTTGACATTTTTACTCATCACACCTAATCAAATTCAAATAAATAAATTACAAAAAAAAATAAAAAAAATAAAAACACTGCTTCAAGCTTTCACCGGTACTGTAGGTGGTGAATTTACACACTTATTCATTCCCATAAAATGATCCCATTGCTCGCGAATCACAGTCGTTTTGCACAGAGTTTTAAGGAATACAATGTTGGCTCAAAGAAGAAGACATTGTCTTGACAGATTATATAAAGAAACCTTACGGATTCCCTTCAAGAGACTCACCTGCCCTACGTTGAATGATAGCGTGATGGCATAGTAGAAGTTGGAATTGGCACTACCTGCATATATCCACAAGTGCCATAGGACAGGGAAAAGCAGCGAACACACTATCAGCATGCAGGATACAAAGAAGAGGTTTCGAAGGACTGAAAAAAAATAATGCATAAATAAATTATATAGTGTAATTAATATGCATATCGAGACACAAATGAAGCTATGGCTAAATAGGCATGGTGTATTCAGACTCTGGACTTTAATTATTCCACAAAGTACAAACTTACATCGAGAGAGGTGAGACCATACGGGTAGGAAGGCCATGTATAAAGCCACGTCACCCACTGTGGGATAAGACTTAAAGATGGAGATGATCGCTAGCTGGATAAACAACAGGAAAAAGGGATGTTCCCTGCAATAAGATAAAAAGGCAGCGGTTTATTTTTTTAAAATTGTATTTATTATTTGAGTATTTATTTACAGCATACAGTAGTGGTTATGACGCTAGAAATAGCTCATCCCTGGTTGCAAACCTTTTTGCAACAGCCGACAGGCTCCCAGGGTCCACCAGTGGCCAGTGACAACATACAGATTTAGCAGCGCTGCAGAAGTCACAAATAGATTCCCCCAGCCAATCATTGGTTGAGTGTCAGCTGACAGGAATATGCACAGAACTGACATTAGCCAGCCACGGAACACTTTACCCCTACAGCAGAATTAGACTTAAATTCCATAGTAAAAATCTGCACATACAGACCCCAGGCACCCTGACCATTGCAAATCACTAATGTGGTTGTAGTGCTTGGAGTAACCCTTTAATCCTTAATATAAAAATAAATAAAAATAATAATAAAAAAAACACCTTTACAAACATCATGTACATATGCTATAAACCAGTGGTCCCCAACACAGTCCACATGGACCACCAACAGTCCTGGATTTATATATTTCCCTGTTTTATTCCAATAGAGATACTGACAAAACCTGGACTGTTGGTGGTCCAGGAGGACTGGGTTGGAGAACACTGCTATAAATAATTAAGTCAACCAGAATGTTTTTAAAAGCCAGCTGGCTAGCAATGGATCCTTACATCAGGTCTGCAGAAAAAGTGTTACCCAGTAAAGTAAAGCTTTTGACAGGCAAATCTTACCTAGAGTGTCAGTCAATTAAGAGACAATTTCAAACATGCCAGCAACTTTATCTGAGCATGTTAGGAGTTCCTGTTATAGAAACTTCAGAAATAGTGGTTAGGATGCATTCGTCCGCTCTTGTGATTAACCAGTGACAGAGCCATAATGTGACAGGCTGTACATGCCTGCTGAGTTATTTGTGCAGGTGTTTGTGAATTAATATTGTACACACAACAACACTGGGGTAACAGCCATTTCAATTCACAACGTGAATGTCGTTACACATTACATACTTAAGCTTGATGGTGAGAGGCACGGTATAGAAAAAAACGTTGATCTGAAAGACGCAGACGAAGAACAGACTGAAGTGTTCAAACATCTCAGCGAAGAAATACCAAAACAGACCAATGTTTGGAGTCAAATCTGGGACCGAAAGTCTGAAAAAGAATCAATAAAAGGGATTAGTATCGGGGCACATTGTGCGTAAACAGTCAATACTACAGTAAATGCACTAAAATAATAAACAGATAAACCAAAAGAACGGTGTTCTCTCACAAGATGTTGATACATTGGTCTATATAGAAACAAGGAGCACAAACTATATAAAAAATAAATCTTTATAACAAACATATCAAAAGATATGTCAAACAAATATATACAAAAGAAAAAAAAAAGTGAAAACACAATACACACACACACGAAAATAGCAATAAAAGTATATCCAGCCATACCTTAAAGACTCTGAATCCAAACTCTGACACCTAGGTCTTTAAATGGACACTGTAGGCACTCAGACCACTTCTGCTAATTGAGGTAGTCTGGGTGCTGTGACCCTTTTGCACTTAGTGCTGCATTGTAAAACAATGCAGTTACAGAGAAACTCCAATGTTTACATTGCAGCTCTAAGTCTGCCCTCTGTGGCTGTCTAACGGGGGGGGGTATGGGGGGAGCCATTTACCCTATATTGCCAGGAAAACGGCTGTTTTCCTGGCACTATAGGATACCTTTAAAGGGAAACTCCAGTGCCAGGAAAACAATTCCGTTTTCCTGGCACTGCAGGTTCCCTCTCCCTCCCACCCCAAAATCCCCAGTTGCTGAAGGGGTGAAAACCCCTTCAGTAACTTACCTGAGGCAGCAACGATGTCCCTCGTCGCTGCTTCTTCCTTTGCGCTCCTCTTTCTGACTGAGTCGGCCGGTGGGAGAGACTGATCCCGCCCACCGGCCGGAGAGACCTAATGCGCATGCGCGGCAATGCCGCGCATGCGCATTAGTGCTCCCCATAGGAAAGCATTGAAAATGCATTTCAATGTTTTCCTATGGGGAAATGAGCGACGCTGGAGGTCCTCACACAGCGCGAGGACGTCCAGTGACGCTCTAGCACAGGTTTCCTAGGAACCAGGAAGTGCCCTCTAGTGGCTGTCTAATAGACAGCCACTAGAGGTGGAGTTAACCCTGCAAAGTAATTATTGCAGTTTATAAAAAACTGCAATAATTACACTTGCAGGGTTAAGAGTAGTAGGAGTTGGGCAGAAGTGGTCTGGAATGTCCCTTTAAGATTTGGTTGGATATACATAAATTGCTATTTTATGGTATATATGGTGTTTTCACTTTATATTCTTTTGTATCCATTATGTATGTATTTTGATAGGTATTTTAGTATGTTTGTAATAAAGATTTTTTTTGTAAATAAAGTGTGATCCTCCTTATTTCTATATAGACCGAAAATCTGAAAAACAGAAAGATGTAAAGATAGTAAATAAGGCAGAGGCCAGAGTAGGAACTTGATGTCAAGAAACCAAAAGAGCATGTTGTGGAATTCTATTGTCAGCTAAAACTATGGGACAAATTTATCAAAGTTTTGTAACCAAAGAAATGGTTCAAAACTTCTAGAATTAGAGCAATTACCATGGAAACCAATGGACATTAGTCACTGAACCAACTTCATCACAATGAAGCAGTTTTGGTGTATAGATCATGCCATAGATCATTAGGAGTTAAATCACTTTGTTTATGCACCCTGGTCACACCTCCCAGCACGTGACTTAAACAGCGTTCCTAAACACTTCCTGTAAAGAGCCATCTAATGTTTACACTTCCTTTATTATAAATTCTGTTTAATTTAGAATTTCTTATTTCCTGCTTCGTTAATAGCTTGCTAGATCCTACAGGAGCCTCCTGTGTGTGAGTAAAGTTCAATTCACAGCGCCGAAGATAAAAACTTTTAAAGTTACACCTGATAGAAAGTAAAACCATTTTGCTTTCACGCAGGCTGTGTGAGTCACAGACAGGGGCGGTGTGGCTAGGGCTGCATAAACAAACAAACAAAAGTGATTTAACTCCTGATTGGCAGAGAATTGAGCAGTGAGACTTCAGAGGAATGATCTATACACAACAGCTTCATTAAGCTAAAGTTGTTTTAGTGACTATATAGTGTCCCTTTAATATTACTTTAAAACTATGCCCTATTTTTCAGATGACGACATGTTGGCAATATTGGGGGATTTGTCAAAGGACAAATGCAACAGAAAAATACACCAGCAGTTCCCAATTTAGTAAACATATTACAGACATTTTAACAGTGCAAACGAATGCCATAATTAAATAGGAAAGCAGTCCGTAATTGCTAAATACAGTCATATATCATATATATAAGATATCCATAAAAAAAAAAATATTTTGTGGCTGTGATTAAATGACCAGAGATGTATTCAAAGCAGTTAGGCAGAATAGCAAGACACAATATATTTAATTGCCTACTTCTTTGGTGTTAGAAATCCACTCCAATTCAACTACTTTGACCTAATGTTGCTTTTCACAACTCAGTATTTTGTGAACAAACCCTATAGTAACACACAGGTTTACTCCTAGCCACCTCAAAGTGTGCCATGAATAAACAGACTTCACGGCTGTAATAGTTTGAATACATCATTTTTTGAAAAAAAATATTTTTGTGCGTGGGTGTGCGTGTTAAAACTAATAAGTCAATATGAGCATAATTCTCAAGCAAGTTCACGTTAATATGTTATTTATAAAGTACTGGTGAATTTTAAAAGTTATACCATAACTTTATCGCAATAAACAGTTATGATGCCACAAGGTTTCAGGAATCATTTTACGTTAAGGCATCCATTCACACCACCCAGCAATTTCCTCTGATGGTCCATGGCTTCAATTAAAAAAGCCTCAGACTTGGCACCACTGACAGACAGAGCTTCACGTAACACTCTCAGTCTGTCACTAGCACCCCATTTCAATTGGGACCTAGTGATTGGCTCAGAGCGTCAGTCATGGTGCGTGTAGTGATCATTTAAAAAGAAGAAAAAAAATCTTTTTACAAAAAAAATGTAGACATGCTTTGAAACATTTTCCATAACTTAACTGTTCCTTGGTCAAAAAAGTTTGGGAACTATTGCTCTATAATACGATAAATGTGATGTCATGTAATATAAGCAAATACAATAAAGAGTTTAAAAAAAAAAAAATTAAAAAAAACTTAATTTGGCTGGGTAAAGTACAGACAATGAAGATTGTCTGGGACATGCACTGGATGATTACAAACAGGAAATTAGCAACAGAAAATAGCCCTTGGAACCATAAAAACAAAACAAAAAAACAATGGATTTCAGCAGGCTGCAGGCAAACAATGGGGAAAAGTTATTTTCAAATCACAGTGTAAAAGTGGTAGGGAGCCCAATAACTGGCGCCTAATACTGTAATGTTTTATTGATCATAACGGTGGCCCACTCAAGAGACGGGATTCCTATGGATCTTTGCCAGACAGAACATTAGACTTACATGAAGCCATATATAGAGTGAATAAAATCCCAGGAGTTTAGCAGGAAGAACGAATGACAAATCAAGATGAACAGAGAGCCTATGTACAGGGAGGCATATTGACAGGAGAAAAGCCAGAATCCAGCACTTTTCAGCTTCACTGGGATAAATTCCCTCTGAAAGCAAGAGACAGATTAAAACATGTTAATTGAAAGAAGTTACCGTTTAACATTCTATCCATAAGTCTGTTTATAAAACACAATGGTGCATTTAAGACTGCTTCCAAACTACAACTCGGAGGCCATTACTGGTACCATTTCTACCTTACGAAGTCTGACCTTCCCTTCTGCAAACCAGCACACACCTTGCTTCCAATTATACCTCTGTACAATATTATATTTTTCTTTTTTTAATACATATTCGGGTATGGATGTCTAATGGGTTAATGTGTTGCTATTCTGTACCATGAGGACTCTGGAATGGGCTGTATAGGGAGATTGAGGGTTGTGTCCCTTAAATGACCAGAGTATGATGTAATTTTGCCTATAAAGAACAGGGGACAAAGGACCACGTTCTCTTCTTCTCCTGCTCTTCCCCGGTGATGTGTTCCTGATACAAAGACTACTACTTAAAAAAATCTCTCACTCTCTGTAACGTCGTTAAGAAACATTGTCTGTTAAGTATATTATTGTTTGCTTTTGAAGTAGAATAAAAACGCATATTTTTTTTATTAAGGACATCAGATTGCAATATTTGTGCTTTTGGTTAATATAGACTTTTAACTATATTAGCAAAGTGCTAGAATGAAACGCTGCACCATTTTTGGTTCTCGAGTATGGATTTGGTAGCCATTGCTATAAAAGTGTTCAACATGCAACTTCCAATTACCATGAGACTCTTGTATGTTTCAGTATGAAATATTGATCCTTCCTATGAGATTCCCCTGCAAGTGATTTTAGTAATTAGATACCTGAAGCAAGTAGAGGAGAGCCGGCGTGAATAAGGTGATCGGGTACAGAGACTGGTAGGTTGCCAAAGCAAGGAACACAGCACTTAACAGTGGGCTACCTGAGGAAAAAAGGCAGAGTGAGCATGTATCCAAGTACATTGAACTATTTCACATAAAGAAAAACTCGACCTACTGACAGTAGATGCAGTTCAATGTAGAGAAAATAAAGGTAGCACTGGTATTTATTTTACCACTTCTTTCCTCCATTAACACTAGGGATCGACCAATATTGATTTTTCTTTTTTAGAGCAGATACCAATAATCTGTGAACTTTCAGGCCGATAGCCTATAACTTACCAATACTGATATTCTGTATATTTACCATTTTGAAAAAATAAACTATTTCTACACAAATCTACTGTTAAATGAACATGTGTATTATTTTTTTTTGCTAATTTTTTTTTTTTTTTATTAAAGGTAAATGCACAAAATATACATGCCAGTCAGAATTTTTTCGGTTTTCAAGAGTGTGTGTTTGTGTAGTGGATGCAGAGTGAGTGCATAGTGAATGCAGTGAGTGCATAGTGAATGCAGTGAGTGCATAGTGAATGCATAGTGAATGCAGTGAGTGCATAGTGAATGCAGTGAGTGCATAGTGAATGCAGTGAGTGCTTGTGTAGTGTGTGTATAGTGAATGCAGTGAGTGCTTGTGTATAGTGAATGCAGTGAGTGCTTGTGTATAGTGAATGCAGTGAGTGCTTGTGTATAGTGAATGCAGTGAGTGCTTGTGTAGTGCATGTATAGTGAATGCAGTGAGTGTTTGTGTAGTGTGTATATAATGAATGCAGTGTGTATATAATAAAGACAGCCGCTCGAGGTTGAATTAACCCTGGCAGGTAATTATTGCAGTTTATTCAAAACTGCAATAAAATTACCATTGTGTCCAGAACACTTCAATGAGCTGAAGTGGTCTGAGTGCCTATAGTGTCCCTTTAGGTCTACTAACACTCTTTAAATCAGCTTTTTATTTATTTTTTTACATACATTATGTTATGCATATGAAAATCTGATGTAAACAGCGTTAGTATGTAAATAAATATTATATATAACTTGCATAACAAAAAGGAAAAAGACAACCACTTACCTTTGACAGTAGCCAGGACAAACATAGCAATGATTGCATTGTTAATGGCACACGTGGATTTGGCCACACAGGATAGAACTGTATAAGGATTCAACAAGTAACTGGAAAGTGACAAACAGTGGAATCAGAACACATTTTACCACCATAATGTCTTGGACTCTGTGGTCATCATATGATATCATAGTCTGAAATACCTGCGATGCCAAAGGTTACCCGTCCCTCTTGACTAGAGTCTCTGACTGCCTCTCTGCTGTTTCTAACTGGATGGCTGCCCACTTCCTTAAACTAAACTTGACCAAAACTGAAATTCTGGTCTTTCCTCCCTCAAGTGTTGTTACTCCTGTGTGTCTCCCTCCAAGTCAACGGTGCTACCATCAACTCCACCACGAAGGCTCGCTGCCTAGGTGTTCTCTTTGACTCCGACCTCTCCTTCAATCTATCGCCAAATCCTGTCATTTCCATCTCAAAAACATTGCGCGCATCCGCCCCTACTTAACGCCAGATGCGACCAAGGTGTTGGTCCATTCCACTGTCCTTTCTCACCTTGACTACTGTAATCCGCTTCTCAGTGGTCTTACAGGCTCCCAACTTGCACCGTTACAGTCCATAATGAATGCGGCGGCGAGGCTCATCTTCCTGTCCGCCCGCACCTCCCATGCCTAACCCTTCTGTCAGTCCCTACATTGGCTTCCTATAAAATATAGAGCTCAATTTAAAATTCTGGTTCTTGCTTTCAAATCTCTAATATTACTATACTATACTATACTATAACATAATGCTGCTCCCACCTATCTATCCTCCCTTATACACAAGTATGTTCCGTCTAGGCCCTTACGATCTGCTAAAGACTTACGTCTATCTTCTGTCCGTACTCCCACCTCTGATGCTCGCCTTCAAGATTTCTCGAGGGCTGCACCGTTCCTGTGGAACTCGCTTCCCTCCTCCGTTAGATGCTCACCCAGTCTCCACTCCTTCAAAAAATCGTTAAAAACCCACTTCTTCATAAAAGCGTATCAATTAAACTGTTAATAGCTCCTGACTGATTCCTCTTCTGCAATTGTCACTAGTCTAATACTATCCTTACCTTTTTGTGTCATTTTACCCCACTCCCTCTAGCATGTAAGCTCATTGAGCAGGGCCCACAACCCCTCTGTTCCTGTGTGTCCAACTTGTCTGGTTACAACTACATGTCTGTTCGTCCACCCATTGTAAAGCGCTGCGGAATTTGACAGTGCTCTATAAATATCATCATCATCATCATCATCATAATAATAATAATAATAATAATAATAATAATAACTGGATTAGAGGGACACTTTAGTCACCAAAATAACTTTAGCTTAATTAAGCCGTTTTAGTGTATAGATCATGCACCTACAATCTTACTGCTCAATTCTCTGTCACTTAGGAGTTAAATCACTTTTGTATGTTTATGCAGCCCTAGACACACCTCCCCTGGCGGTGACTGACACAGCCTGCATGAAAAAAATGGTTTCACTGTCAATCAGATGTAACCTCCTTTAAAAGTTTTTATCTCCTGCTTTGCAAGTTGAACTTTAATTACATACAAGGGGCTCCTGCAGGGTCTAGCAAGCAATTAACAGAGCAAGAGATAAGACATTCTAAACTAAACAGTGTTTGGGAAGGCTGTGAAAGTCACATGCAAGGAGGTGTGACCAGGGCTGCATAAACAAAAGTAATTTAACTAGTAAGTGACAGAATTGAACAGTGAGAGTGCAGGGGCATCATCTATACACTAAAACCGCTTTATTAAGCTAAAGTTGTTTTGGTGACTATAGTGTTCTTTTAAGGAGCCAGCATATGAAGCGGATTAAAGAAGCAGTGACCACTTAAAATCCAGTCGTTAGATAAAATATACTTACAAGAGTGCTACTTTTAGAGGGATATAGTACATTTCTGTCGGAACCCTGAGAAGTTCATGGCTTCCTGTTGCATATTTATTGAGCTCCAAGTACAGCTTCTGCGTTTTAAACTGTAGAAGAGAGAGCAAGCAAATTATATCCCACCATAGTATAACAAACTATACAATACAATGTGAACATGCAGCTGTGGCCTCTATTTACTTGCTCAAGAAGCTCATTATCCCCCTCACCACGGTGAAGGAGATGGGATCAGTGACATAAATGTTACATAAGGGGTAAAGTATCTCCTTACATGCAGGGATCAGCACAGCAAATGGAAATGAAACCCTAGTATAAAATTGGGCTGGTGACATGGTGACGAAGGCCTGGACAGGGGCTTAAGAATTTAGATTTGAGTCCTGCACCTCTTTGTGCATACACAAAGACATCCATATTTATATATACACATCAGCACAAAGCATTGAGAGAAACTCATGGTAAAGAAATATTTCAGAACAAGCCTCTATTCTTCAAGCTGTAAGCTCAGGCTGTTTTATTAAAAAGTACTGCATTCCCATGACCTACATTATTCATGTGTAAAGAAATTACTGACAGCAGTGTAAAATAGGCTTGCATGTGTACATGGTTCCATGGTCTTCTGTCGCTCAATATCACAAAAATTAGCATCGTTTTTAACATGCCAATAATAACAACATACTGACCTACCATTGCTTAAAGGACCACTATAGTGCCAGGAAAACACACTCGTTTTCCTGGCACTACAGTGCCCTTAGGGTGCCCCCACCCTCAGGGTCCACCTCCCGCCGGGCTCTGGGGAGAGGAAGGGGTTAAAATCTTACCTTTCTCCAGCGCCGGGCAGGGGGGCTTTCCTCCTCCTCTCCTTCTTCCTAGCTACGTCATCGGCTGAATGCGCATGCGCGGCAGGAGCCGCGCGCGCATTCAGCCAGTCTCACAGGAAAGCATTCACAATGCTTTCCTATGGACGCTGGCGTCTTCTCACTGTGATTTTCACAGTGAGAAGCACGCAAGCGCCTCTAGCGGCTGTCAATGAAACAGCCACTAGAGGCTTTAGAGGCTGGATTAACCCTCAGTGTAAACATAGCAGTTTCTCAGAAACTGCTATGTTTATAATAATAAAAAAAAAAGGGTTAATCCTAGCTGGACCAAGCACCCAGACCACTTCATTAAGCTGAAGTGGTCTGGGTGCCTATAGTGGTCCTTTAATATATCACCCTCATATATAGGCTGACGTCAGTATTCGTCTACGACCATGTCCTCTTGTTGTTCATAATGTTAGAGGAGTAATCAGTAGCTATTGCTATACTAAACATCCTAATTGTAGAATAGTGATGGCTAATTTGTCTATTAGCTAGGTCAGGTTAGCTCCACAGTGTAACGATAAATTGCAGTTATTGCCACTGTTTTAAAGGGTTTCTGTCATGGTAAACATAGCTTTATCTTACATGATCGAGAATCACATTTAATCTCTACATCTTGTTAGCAGAATTGCACGCAAGTGTCCAGATATCTCTAAATTCAGAAATGTTTTTTTAAAAAAAAAACATCCTTTTCCCCTCCTGTCATTCAATTCAGTCAGTGCCAATTGGCACAGAGATAAGAAGGCTGTGCTCTGCATGTTGGTTTTCAGTGAAACCTGATCTCCTGCTTGCCTTCATCCCAAGGGATAGCAATGTTTGCTAGGGGAAAGAGAAGCAGACTCTGTGTGAGAGCAATGGTAGCACAGAGAGAAAGAGGCAGAGTTGTTTATTGCAATCTGAGAATGGAGAGAGAACAGATAAGTTGAATGTGTAACACCCACTGAAAACATAATAGATGCTCTTAACAGGAGACATGGAAATAAATTAAAATATGAGCTTTTAATGGTCTTCAGAAATTGGAATGTAAGAGAGTGCAGAGCATACATAGCGTACAGACTAGTAGCAGCAAATCTCCTAATAAATGTCACCTCTAGCTCCTGACTATTTTAGAAGTATCACATCTTTATTGCCTCCCATGTTATTATTTATATAGCGCCAGCATATTCTGTAGTGCTGTACAATGTTCATAAACAAAACTTCTGAAAAGAGTATTCAAGGGTCTATGTGTCTCTTAAATTCTACAAAAGGTAAGAGAACTCTTGAGTTACTTGTGAGAGCCTGACCCAATAGCAAAAATGGATAAAAAAAATAAAAAAAAATAAATGAAAATAAAATAAACCAACTTACCGTTATTTTATTATATTCTTGAACAGCCAGGTAAAGTGCAACAGCTGTAAGAGCATCTGTTATCTGGAAACAGACACGCACAATGAAAATAAACACTATTAGAAGTCATTCATTATCATAACCATGAAAATCGGTTTTGTGAATGCATTTAAATGTTTTGATGGAATGACATACTATAAAATAATATCACTGGTGTCAACAATTGCCTGAAATGTGGGCCAACTGTTTTAATAGCACAACATTTATTTAACCCCTTAAGGACACATGACATGTGTGACATGTCATGATGCCCTTTTATTCCAGAAGTTTGGTCCTTAAGGGGTTAAAGGAAAACTATGGGCACCAGAGCAACTACAGTCTAATGTAGTATAATCATTACCTGCAAGCATTTTCATTCAAACACTGCCTTTTCAGAGAAAAGGTAGTGTTTGCATTAAAGCCTAGTGACACCTCCAGCAGCCACTCCTCAGTTGGCCAGTAAAGGTGCTTTCTGGCAACATCTCCACGTGCTGATTGGCCAAACATGTTGGTGCAGATTTTAACCATTTGTTTAAAAGAACACAATTGTTTCAGGTGTTTTAGGCATTCTAATTACAGTTTGTATGTATATAGCTGCTGTAAAAATACTTACCATGAACACAATCTCTGCGTAATCAACAAGAAAATGGAAGAGATATATCATGAGTGGGGTCTGTAAAAGAATATAAATAAATTACTTAGAACATACAGAAAACAAGTTAAAATTCCATGGTACAATAGAGTTTCTTTCACTAAGCTCTTGTTTTTTTTTTGTTTTTTTTTTTATATTCTCACATCACGGTGTGAAAGACAAACTGCAATCAAATTATCACATGAGCAATAACAGCATTCCAGAGAGAGAACAGGTAGGTATGAAAGATTTGCAATGTGAGAGTTATTTCGTATTAAGCATAAAGCTAAATGTAGTGTGCAGTCTGCTAACTAGAAACTAGCATGGCATGGTTAAAGCGGCACTATCATGGCTGAATCCTGTTTTTTTGTTTTTTTTTTTAACCCCCCTCCCGCCTCCACTATCTCTAACTGACCCCCTAGTCACCCCCAAATGCCCCTAAGCCCCCATATTACCTATTTTTAATCTTTATTTTCTGCCCCGATCTATATTCAGGGCGCCGCCATCTTTGTGTGGGTAGATGAAGTCCCTGTGGGACATGTCATCTGCCCACACTAGATAGACTGTGAGATTCCCGCACATGCCCAGTGAAACACCTGGACATGCGAACGGGAATTTTATCTATTCATTCATCAGACAGACGAATGAATGAATAGAAAAAAAAAAAAATCAGACGAACAAACTAACACTGTGCATCAGTGATCGTTTGTTCGTTCAGTTTATTACAAGGAGGGAGCTACCGGCACGCAGCTCCTTCCTTGTAATATGTAAAGATAAAAGCGGCAGGGAGCAGGGCACCCCACCACTTCATAAGCCCCCCAGGTACCCCTCACTCTATGGGGGTCAATATGACCCCCATAATAGCATAAAGGAGATTAAAATCTCCCCAATGCCCCTACTCGCTATACCGCGAGTAGGGGCATGTCCACTAAACAGTGAGCAGCCTGAGGCTGCTCACGGTAAAAACAAAAAAAAAACACTAATGACGGGTGGGGGCCCTAAAGTAAAATAAGTGGGGAGACCTATTGTTTTTTTAGGGTGAGGGGGGTAGGTAGGGGACTTTTTATTTGGGTGGGTGACTAGGGGCTTGGGGACCCTTAGTCACCTTTGATGGGGCGAATTTGACATAGGGCCCCCACCCGTCGCCCAGGGGTGGTGGCAGGGGGACGAGGACAGTAGGTCCCCCCCCCCACTCATTATCTTTATGGTCCCCACCCGCCGCCCAGGGGTGGGGGGGGGACAATAGGTCCCCCCCTCATTATCATTATGACCCCCACCCACCGCGCAGGGGTGGGGGCCGGGGGGGGACGGGACAATAGGTCTCCCCCCTTATTTTACTTTAGGGCCCCCACCCGTCGTTTAGGGGTGGGGGCCAATAGTTTTTTTTGTTTCGTTTTTTTTTTTTTTTACAGTGAGCAGCCACAGGCTGCTCACTGTTTACTAGACATGCCCCTACTCGCGGTATAGCGAGTAGGGGCTGAGTTTACTAATACTAAGTAATCTTTACTTAGTATTAGTAAATTTGGCTGAAAGACCAATTTAGGTCTTTCAGCCTTTTAGTAGATAGCTCCCTGATATCGTGGGAATTAGGGAGTTATCTACTAATCAGCTGCAAGATGGAGCCACAGCAAGAATAGGATCGGAGTTTCATTCATTCAAATTAAATTGCGATCCGAACAAAGTGCCGAATTGAGTTCTAAAAGAAACGAACATACTGTTCTCATTCAGTTAGAACGCAATTCGGCGGTTTTGTGTAAAATGACAGGTAGCATCACGGGAACACAGAGGAAAGGTAAGAATTATGGGAAAATTTCTCTGACCAGCGGAAATGAAGCACACTTTGCTCCTCTGCTGGTCAGAGCTTTGTCTTATGATTTTAAAGAAAACTAAAGAAGACAGGAAGAAAAGAAGAACAGATCCTGAGAGAGGGGGAGAAGAGGAAGAGATTGAGGAAAGGTAATTTCGGCATGACCGTGCCGCTTTAAGTGCCTAAAGGTATGTCTAGAAGGGGTGGAGGGAAACAAGTAGTATAACATTTATTTAATATCTGCTTACGGTGTCAGATCAATAGACAGACTAAAAACATATATGGCAGAAAAACTAAAGACAAAATGACAGCTAAAAAGAAGTACCGTAATCGCTGCTCAGGATGGCAGTTCACTGGCTTTTTGGCACAACCGGTGTGATTTTGTCCACGGACCACGTAAGGTGATTCCCACTGGCATGGACCCTGCTGGTAGACCCAACTACTGGAGTAAGGTATGTACCTCAGTTAGGTGAGTTATAGGATAATTCTTGCCACATTTGTCCACTGGGAGTCCGTGTGGATCCTGCTTATAGGAGATCTTATGTTCTCTTAGCAATTGAGTAACCCGCCGGAGTGACTGACGCCATAAGATACTATGTTAGTATAAATCCTGATAAAAGGCAAGGCAACTTCCTAAAAAGGTCACGGAGGGAGATCGCCTGGTTGCCCCCATAAGGGTTCCTCTAACAGAGCTCTGCAGAAACTTTATTAAGGCATCTCTTGAAGGCTCTTGGGATGCTTTTGCAACCCTGGGAAGCAATGGTCGAGCAATGTCTGTTTAACCCGCTTATTTGACAGTAAAGTAGAGTGGAGCCGTCGGACATAACGACATAGTTCCTCATTGGTAAAGGAATAAGGGACCCCCCTTAGACGTTTCCTGGCTTTGGCGGTGTCCTCCATGTTGGTCATGCAGATTATCAAGTCTGCAAAGTGGTTGTTTTTTTGTTTTTTTTTGAAGTCGAGGTGTAATGATATTGATGTTACAAAGGTTTGGAGTCCAGCAGCCAGATCAGCAATGTTTTCTGCCAGAAGTAGCCACTCGTTACCCAGAATATCGAGCCCCTGAGCTTTGAGTGGCCATCTGGTCTTAAGCAGAGATGAGAGACTGGAACAGTAAGATGGTAATCGTAGTAAGGCAATTCGAGGTCAGTGGGAAGGAGAAGCAGCAAAGTCAAACGGTCCAAATTCAGCAACAGGTAGAAGAAACAGGAACAAGCTTGATTATAGCGTACAGAAACCACAATCTGGCAAAGGTACAGAGACAGGAAGTGGCTTAAATAGCCCAAGAACCAGACACCGCTGAAGAGAGCTGGCACTAATATCATTGCTTGTAGAGTCAAGGTTATCAGATCTCCGGTACATCTGCAAAAGGCAGGCTGGTGAACCGGTAAGGAAGAGGATCATCAGCATGGAAACCAGGGTTCCAAACCCAGCAGAGTTAGTTCCTCACACGAGGGCTCTATCAGTAGCTTTCTGAGCATTTTAGTACTCCTCCGGTCCTCCTCCACAGCAACTATACAACTACTGAAAATGGCCACCTCCTCCCAAATAAGGCCTTCATATCCGCTTTGGATGATGGAGCAGTATCCCCTAGAGCAATGATCCACTGTGTGTCTGCACGTAACCGAGAACAGCTAAGCCTTGTGGGAGTTAGGCTGTCCTCATACGAGGAAGCTAAGGAGTTGGTCTCCATAGGCGCCATCTTAAATTAATAAAATGTGGGAGATTTAAAGACAAATAAGGTATTCTCTGGATCCTAAATTTGGTCCTGCATTCTATGGAAATTTGTCAAGCACTATGACCTCAATTTATTGTTGTTGGATAAGCTTTCCAAATGATTTAATATTTCAATTGATTTCTTTCCTCCTTAAAATATTACAATATCGAAAAATAACAACAACAAAAATCTTCATATATCAAAATACTATACCCACTATGGTACATTATGGTTGTGGGAACTAAATAATATATGTATTTATTATTTATAAAGAACCATGAGTACATATTCTCCTAATAGATGTTACTTACTTCGTGAAAGACATCTCCAGAGTAAGGGGACACTCCGAGGTCCAAAAGTGACATACCTTCTACCACTGCAAGAAACAAAAACAGGGTAAGCTAAATTGTATTGTTGCAATCCTCAAGGACGGGTTCAATAGTAAATATCCAAAATTCCTTCGTGCAGAAACAAACCCGAAAGGTGACATACATGCCATCAAACGCCAACAATTTTATATACATACCAACGCAAAAAATATGGGGACCTATTCAGAATTTCTTTCTGAAAGCAGCAAAAGTTAAAGGGATACTATAGTCACCTGAACAACTTTAGCTTAATGAAGCAGTTTTGGTGTATAGAACATGCCCCTGCAGCCTCACTGCTCAATCCTCTGCCATTTAGGAGTTAAATCCCTTTGTTTATGAACCCTAGTCACACCTCCCTGCATGTGACTTGCACAGCCTTCCATAAACACTTCCTGTAAAGAGAGCCCTATTTAGGCTTTCTTTATTGCAAGTTCTGTTTAATTAAGATTTTCTTATCCCCTGCTATGTTAATAGCTTGCTAGACCCTGCAAGAGCCTCCTGTATGTGATTAAAGTTCAATTTAGAGATTGAGAGACAATTATTTAAGGTAAATTACATCTGTTTGAAAGTGAAACCAGTTTTTTTTTTTTTTTCCCCATGCAGGCTCTGTCAATCATAGCCAGGGGAGGTGTGGCTAGGGCTGCATAAACAGAAACAAAGTGATTTAACTCCTAAATGATAGTGAATTGAGCAGTGACATTGCAGGGGAATGATCTATACACTAACACTGCTTTATTTAGCTAAAGTAATTTAGGTGACTATAATGTTCCTTTAAGAATTTGTAGAACTGTAAGATTATGACTGCGTGTTTTATTGAGAAGAATAATTCACCATAAACCAGCACAGTGTAATCTCTGTTGCAACATAAATACTGTTTAAAAGGGAACTCCCACTTCTCCAGAAACTACACTATTTCATTTGATGTTCCATTTTCTTTCTAAAATTATATGCAGGATTTAGCAAATGCCATCACAATCTAATTCATTATTTGCACATATTGCAAATGAATAGAAGAGACTATGGGCCAAGTTTTAGAATCACATTGGGCTTGAGCCCAAAGGAAACCTCAATGACTCCTATCCCCACCTCTCCCTCTATTATGTCCTTTCTGTTCTAAGCGTGAACAGTGCTGCTGATGCTCTTCTGAATGAACACATAGACAAAAATAAATCATATGTTGCACAGGCCTCCCCAGCACCTTCACTCCTTCACCCACTACACTAAAGATCTTTTTTTTAAATGTTATAATAGGTTGCTGGTTTGGACAAGCAGGTACACTATAGGCATCTCCCCACCCAGTTTTACAATGCGACTGAAAACTTTGACATTTTGCAGGAATGGCAATGCTTTTATTGCAGGATTAATTTGCCACAAAAGGTGCCTCAATGAAATAGTCGAATAAAACACCGCTTTTTTAATAGATGATTTGTGCAGTGAGGAGTTTGGCTGCGCATGCACACTAGCCTCCCAATGCTTTCCACAGTGATCGCAGCCAACGTGGCGGAGCTTCCCTGAGGAGGGAGAAAAAATTTTAAAAATATTTTTTTACACCCTGGCAGCTTTGGCCTGGCCATCTAAACGGTAACTAGGGCACTATAGCGTTAGGAATACTTATTTATATTCCAAATGTTCTAGTGTTTAAAAATTAAATATCCTTTCAAAATTTCCTTTAATAATTAAATAAAAAACAAAAACAAAAAACACAGCAATATCCTTGCTGCATTATCCATGAGAAACAGCAATGCTTTCCCAGTGTAATCTGTCAGTACGGTTTTATCATGGTTTTCCTGGTCGCCTGCGGTCTTAATCAGGTGCACTGAATGAGAACAATAAGTATGTGTAGTGCACAACCTGACATTTCGCTTCTCAAGCTCGAATTAGACCAGACACAGAATAGGCTAACAGTGAAACCATGGTAAGTGTCAACCTATGCCAAAATGGTTTGTCAGATCATGCTGGGGTGGTGCAAGGGCATTCCTGGCACCATAAGCACTGCAGTTGGTTAGGACTCAGATTTTTCCTTTAAATATTCTCTCTCTAGTGTAAAAAGTAAAAAAAAAAAAATGTTTTTGGGAATTTGCTTTATCCCATTCTAAACCTGAGCTTATTTTCAATCTAAGAAAAAGACAGATTTTGTAGATCTTGTGTATTGGGCACATTAGGTGGATGTACAATAACCAGTCACTTATCCGATAAGTATATATATATATATATATATATATATATATATATATATATAAAAAAAATTTTAAAAAAATCACAGCACACAATATCAATTAAAGGGACACTATAGTCACCTGAACAACTTTAGCTTAATGAAGCAGTTTTGGTGTCTAGAACATGCCCCTGCAGCCTCACTGCTCAATCCTCTGCCATTTAGGAGTTAAATCCCTTTGTTTATGAACCGTAGTCACACCTCCCTGCATGTGACTTGCACAGCCTTCCATAAACACTTCCTGTAAAGAGAGCCCTATTTAGGCTTTCTTTATTGCAAGTTCTGTTTAACATTTTCTTATCCCCTGCTATGCTGATAGCTTTCTAAACCCTGCAAGAGTCTCCTGTATGTAATTAAAGTTCAATTTAGAGATTGAGATACAATTATTTAAAGGAAAATTACATCTGTTTGAAAGTGAAACCATTTTTTTTTCCATGCAGGCTCTGTCAATCATGGCCAGGGGAGGTGTGGCTAGGGCTGCATAAACAGAAACAAAGTGATTTAACTCCTAAACGACAGTGAATTAACCCCTTAAGAACTGAGCCAAATGTACACGTTGTGAATGAAACAAAATGTAAACAAAACCTGACATTTGCGCTACATGTCTGTCCAACCGTAATTCACCTTTTTCATATTAAATGCACCCACCCTTATTATATATCATTTTATTCAGGGGAAACATGGCTTTCATTTAATATCAAATATTTAGCTATGAAACATAATTTTATATGAAAAAAATGGGAGAAAATAAGAATTTTTTAAATTTTTTTAGTTCTACATGACATTTTAACTGTCAATGTCATAATACGGTTTGCTTTTACTGCAATAAAATACACATATTTGTATTCAGCAAAGACTCACGTGTAAAACAGTACCCCCCATTAACAGGTTTTATGGCGTTTTGGGAAGTTACAGGGTCAAATATAGCACGTTACATTTGAAATTGAAATTCGCCAGATTGGTTACGTTGCCTTTGGGACTTTATGATAGCCCAGGAATGAAATTTACACCCATAATGGCATACCATTTGCAATAGTAGACAACCCAAGGTATTGCAAATGGGGTATGTCCAGTGTTTTTTAGTAGCCATTTGGTCACAAACACTGGCCAAAGTTAGCATTAGTATTTGTTTGTGTGAAAAATGCAAAAAAACGCCAATTTTGGCCAGTGTTTGTGACTAAGTGGCTACTAAAAAAGACTGGACATACCCCGTTTGCAATACCTTGGGTTGTCTACTATTGCAAATGGCATGCCATCATAGGGGTAATTTTCATTCTTGGGCTACCATAGGATCTCAAAGGCAACGTAACCAATCTGGCGAATTTTAATGTGAAAAAAATGAAACACAAGCCTTATATTTGACGCTGTAACTTTTGAAAACACCATAAAACCTTTTTACATGAGGGGTACTGTTGTACTGGAGACTTGCTGAACACAAATATTTGTGTTTCAAAATAGTAAAAAGTATCGCAGCAATAATATCGTCCGTGTAAGTGCTGTTTGTGCGTGAAAAATGCAAAAACTTCACTTTTACTGGCGATATCATCGTTGTAATACATTTTACTGTTTTGAAACACTAATATTTGTGTTCAGCGAAGTCTCCCGAGTAGAACAGTACCCCCCATGTACAGGTTTTATGGTGTCTTGGAACGTTATAGGGTTAAATATAGTGCTAGCAAATTAAATTCCCTTTACTTTCGGCATGGGTTGTCAGGCAGGTCCCGCTAATTGTAATTAATTAAGATACCTAATTATGTAAAAATATTACAGAGAGAGAGAGAGAGAGAGAGAGAGAGAGAGAGAGAGAGAGAGAGAGAGAGAGAGAGAGAGAGAGAGAGAGAGAGAGAGAGAGAGAGAGAGAGAGACGTATATATTTATGTATGTAGATATATATTATTTCGTTCTACTTGTATTTTGAGATATAGATATATATATAGATATAGATATATATATATATAATATCACAATACAGTTAGAACAAAATAACACATCTATATATTTTATTATTTTTTATTTTATTTTTTAACGTATTTACATATTTAATTTTTTTATATTATATATAAATATATATAACAATAATTATATATATATATATATTTAATCAGTATCAGTCTGTGTAATTTGATTTTGAGATATATATATATATATGTATATATATATATATATATATATATATAAAATCTAAGTATAAATTTTTTTTTTTTTTTTTACCCTTATAAATTTAATTTAATTTTTATTTCCAGCCAGCAGGGGGGCCACCTGTCATTACAGGCAGCCCCCCTGCTAGCAATACAGAAGCCAGCTATCAAGGCCATGTGATTGTGAGGTCCTCGCAAGGACCTTACTCTCACATGGCCAGGGGGCACCGGAGAAGGAGGATCTGCCGCGGGGGGGCTCCCGGGTAAGTAAGAAAAAAATGGAGGGCGTACAAAATAGGGCGTAATTGTACGCCCTACGGTCTGAAGGGGTTAAGCAGTGAAATTGCAGTTGAATGATCTATACACTAAAACTGCTTTATTTAGCTAAAGTAATTTAGGTGACTATAGTGTTCCTTTAATTCATCCATCCATCGTTTAACAGGCATTTCATTCTTTCAAAAGGGATTTGTCTAAAGTCTATCCAGGACAAGTCCCAATGCTGCACAAAATGGAATAGAAGACACACAACACTAAAGTGTGAAAATAGGGTAAAGTAACACTAGGATTTCTGAGACATTCATAAACCATTCACCCAGATGAAAGTTACATTCTCAGGCGGCTATATGTTGCTGCCACCTCTTAGCCCCTCTCCCAAACTGAATTAACGCTTCCACTAATCTCCGGTAGTCTGGGATACATATGATCTTGTGCGGTCCTTTCTCTCTGTAGGTAAGCCCTAACACAAAAACTGTCTATAACCCTATAAAAAAAAACAACAAAAAAAAAACTGTGATATAAAATATAAACAAAAGCGAAGTGTAATTTAGGGGAAAATAATGCGTTCAAGTCCCAATGTTTATTATTATGTTACCCGAATACTTCAATGGCATTATTGCCTCCAAATCCATGCTTTACTCTTCTATTTAGTCATCACTCACTGTTTTCTGTGATCTTGATAAAGACCCCAGGAGGGTCGAAACGTTGATTTTTTTTGCACAGTTGATGTATTCTTGAAATACAATAAATACCTTCCCCCCTCCCTATATATTGAAGACCTAGGTGCTCCCTTACATCTATCTGGAGATATATATATATATATATATATATATATATATATATATATATATATATATATATATATATATATATATATATTCTTTCCCAATATATAGGTTTATTTTCTTAATTTAGTGTTACATTTTCTTTTTTTATATGTTACTTATTTTTCCACTTTCTCTTTTCCCCCCCTATTATATATATATATATATATATATATATATATATATATATATATATATTTTATGCACACATACATATATTTTGATCCCCAGATCCCCCAGGTTAATTGCACACAGCACCTTGCCACAGACACCACCACCACTCCCATTCAATACCATGCTCTATCCCCTATATCAGACACATTACATGAGCCCTATGCAGCTCACTTATAGCCCAGACCAGCCCCATTTACCTCTCTTCCATGAGTTCAACGGAGATACGACCTCCACCCGTTCAGAGATAAACCCTGCCAAGCTGGACCGAAACAAAATAGCCCTTATAGTCACTGACACCAGCACTACCAGCACCAAAGGAGCCGCCATCTTCCTGGAGCAGGCAGGCTCAGGCCGCGCGGAGGTTCACGGGACTTGTAGTTCTATAGCGCCATGAAGCGCTTGGATCGACAGAGAGAAAAACTACAACTCCATGTATACGTTGCGATGCACGATTCCCTTTTCCGGGTGACCTGAAGAAGTGTCTGCCAGTTATAAGGGACATTATACCAGTCACCTGTCAGTCAGTTAGTACCCACCTACCTAGCAGTACTAACCTGTCACAGACATGGTTTAATAGTTACAGAAAGAGTGGTTTTACATTACAAAAAATAACAATTATACATCTATTTAATCACATAAAATGAACCTGCAATAAAAATTTGCATTGCGCAGTCATGATTGATTTAAAATTATTTTGCATATTTATAAAGGGCGATAAAGGTAGATTGGTAGCGCTAATGCAGTTTGAGAGGGTATGCAATAGGCGTGTGCAAAAGTTTAGTTCTCATTCAGTGAATAGGACTCCTCAAGTAAATCTCGATTCATCCAGGCGTAAATTAACCCCTTAAGGACACAGCTTCAGAAGCTTGTCTTACGCTTAATGACACAAGCAATTTTTGCATTTTCTTGCTGTATGGGTTCAACTGCAATTTGCATCTCTCTCGTTTATTGCACCGACACATATTATATACTGTTTTTTAAAGGACATAAAGGGCTTTAATTTGATGTAACATATATCTATCTATCTATCTATCTATATATATATATATATATAAATGCTTATTTATTATTAAAAAAAAAATACAGAAAAATGCAAGAAAAATTTTGTGTTTTTTGTACAGTTTTTGCAATAATAATGTGTGCCTAATTAGTGCAGGTTAAAGAAAGTAATTAAGTAATAATTTAGTTGTTCTGATTTACAGAATATATAATGTGTCTGGGATTTTAAGTTTTTTTTGATAGTTACAGGTCACAAAGCACAAGGAGTAAAATAAACTTTTAATGTGGAGCGATTTTAGAATTTGGTATGTTTGTCTTGTAAGCTTAATAGCCATAAAAGAAAACAAAATTGCCACACAAAAATATATATTTATATAAAGTAGGTAGACATCACAGGCTATTTACCTAAGGTTGTTTTGACACTTTCTACATAGCCATTTCACCGCCAATCTCTGCTAAATATTGAAGTAAAATTTATTTTTTGTGGGTTTTTGGCACACAAACTTATAACAAATAAATTCTCATGTGTATTTTGTAAAGTTGGTGTGTGCTATTCCTGTACAAAGTTTTAATTTGTGTTCAGTTACTTCTGCTGAGTACGATACCCCCATTGTATGTCTTTGGCACTATTTCGTGAAGCTACAGTGCCACACAGGATGCCTGTCCGTTTGAACATTTACAGTAGAATTTTGAGAGGCGGATTTAATGGGCCTATGCTTCAATTTGGGGTATTATAGCAGTTTGACTGTTCAAAAAAACCCCACAAAGGCCTACCATTTGTAAAAGTAGACACTCCAGGGTTACTCATATGGTGCATATTGTGCCTTAACATGCCCCCATTTTTTCACCAATATATGCCAAAGTATGTGGTAAAAAATAATTTTGGGCATTTTTTACATACGGATTACAATATGCCCAATGTATGACCTAGACACTATTTTGTGAAGTTACACTGCTGTAAAAGAGAAGTGACAAGTTAAGGTTTTTAAGTGTGAATTTTCATGGAGGGTTTTGATGCGTCCGTGTCCCACTTTGGGGCAATTGAGCAGGCTACATATTACAACTACACCATAAAGGCATACCATTTCTTAAAGAACACATCCCAGGGTATTTCAAAAGGCATATTTTGAACGTTGGTGTGGGATCATTTTTCCGCTAGCTTGTACCAAGTGTAGTGGTAATAAGCGTTTTTTTGCCTTTTTGACACACAAAGTGAGTTTGCACAGTATATTTTGCAAATCGTATGTGTGTTACGACTGTATAATACTTCATATGTTGCTCAGCTATGTCGGCTGAGTACAGCAATACCCCTGTATGTACCTTTGCCTGGTATATGTGGACATCAGACGGGCACATTTGGAACACAGCCATTCCAGTTATTTTCAAATGTAAAATTTTTACACTGTGCCTATGTTCCATTTTAGAGTATTTTACCAGGCTATATAATCCAAATACCCCATAAAGCCATACAATTTCTTAAAGAAGACATCCCAGGGTATTTCAAAAGGCCTATTTTGAACCTTAGCGTGGGATCATTTTTCCGCTAGCTTGTACCAAGTGTAGTGGTAATAAGCATCTTTTCTGCCTTTTTGACACACAAAGCGAGTTTGCGCAGTATATTTTGCAAACCTTATGTGTACTACGACTGTATACTACTTCATATGTTGCTCATCTATGTCGGCTGAGTACAGCAATACCCCCGTATGTACCTTTGCCAGGTATATGTGGATATTGAAGGGGCACATTTGAGACACAGCCATTCCAGTTTTTTTCAAAATTTGAATTTTTACGCTGTATCCATGTCCCATTTTAGAGTATTTTACAAGGCTATATAATCCAATTACCCCATAAAGGCATACAATTTCTTAAAGAAGACCAGGGCAATTCAAAAGGCATATTTTGAACCTTCACCTTCACCACACCATCACCTGCCTCTGCCTCTCACCATCACCCCTCCCCCTCTCACCATCACCCCCTTCCTCTCACCTTCACCCCCCTCTCACCATCACCCCACTTCCTCTCACCATCACCCCCTCCCTCTCACCTTCACCCCCGTCTTTCATATTAAATGCACAGTAAAACGTATCACAACAATTATATCGTCAGTGTAAGTGCCATTTGTGTGTGAAAAATGAAAAAAATGTCACTGTCACTGACGATATCGTCGTTGTAATACATTTTACTGTTTCGAAACACTAATATTTGTGTTCAGCGAAGTCTTCCGAGTAAAACAGTAACCCCCATGTACAGGTTTTATGGTGTCTTGGAAAGTTACAGGGTTAAATATAGTGCTACCAATGGACCACCGGGGAGCCCACTGAAACCAGGCAATAAATCAATGTAGGCCATCTCTCTCCCATCTCCCCCTTCCCTCAGCATCACCCCCCACCACCCTCAGCATTACCCCCTCACCACCCTCAGCATCACCCC